TAACTCAAGCCTTGACTCTTCCACTCCATTTTCTGTATTTTTTTCCTTGTTTATTTTCAGATTGTAGTTCATATTCCTTGAGCTAACTTCAAACCCCACCCTGTTGTCCTTCCATTTGCATCTATAGAGGATTGCTAAGTGCTGCTGTAGAAAATCAGGCCTCTTCAAAGAAATCCATTCAGAGGCCCCACCTCCCACCCTCTTCTGCCAATCCACCTTTCTCCTTCTCTAGTCAATTTCTCTTCTGGTCTCTACAGTGGTTCTTATAACATTTCTATGCACGTCAAATATTCCCCACCAGCTTTGCCCCCAACTTAGCAGGTACACCTTAGTTTTCACTGCACAGAAAAAAAAGTCATCCAGTTTGAACTCTTTCAACTTTCATCACTTAAAACCTACAAAGTCACTTGCATGTGCACACAGATAAAATGCAAGGACACATGTCTTTTCCTGTGTGGAGCCAGTCCACTTTGCATCACTAACTCCCCCTCTTGTCTCCCAGTGCATATTTACAGTCTTTCCCTCTCTGCTTACTTGAGCATGCACTATACCCTCTTCTCTCATATCATAAAGACCAAGAAAGGGAAAAATCTTCCCTTGACCCTATTTCCCTTCCATTTGTCATCTTTTCCTCTCTCCTCCCCTTTATGATTGGATATGATATCCAATCATATCATACACTCCCTGTATCATCCACCTCCTATCTGCCATTCATCCTCAATGGGAAACCACACCATTCCCTTCTGGAATGCTCTCACTAAGTGTGGAAGTGACTTCTCAGTGACTAGAAGCCAATGTACACTTCTTAGTCTTTATCCTGCTAGTCTCTCTCAGCAGTTTTAACACCATCAATTGTTCCCTCTTTAAAACGCTGTGTTTTAAGCTTCTGTGATGTTTGTACTCTTTTATCTGCCCTCTTTCCTCTGACTTTCCAGTCTTTTGTTGTCTCATCTTCTCTGTCTATGCTTTTAATGCTGGTGTTTCCTAGCGTGACCCCAAAAGTCAGCTCTCTTTTCACTCAACACACTTGCCTCATTAATCTCAACCACACCCAAATCTTCACATTCCTTCTGCGTGCTATTGAATCCCAGTTCTGTATCACTAATGCAGATGTCTCCCTGTGGCCTGCAGACTACTCTTCCCGCTCCCTCCTAGACATTTCCTCTTGTCCAGATGATCCACAGTTGCCTCAAAACAATGCATCCAAAGATGTACTCATCTCTCCAACCTGCCCTCTCCACCTCCTCTTGGCTCTAACTGCTTAACCTTCTTTTCTCTCTTTCCATACATGGTAACTATCCATTTGCTTGTGTTTGAACTAGGAAACTGAATTTTATTTTTTATTCTTCCATCTTATGGAATGGGTAAAGAAGCTTTGACAGTGAGACACTATTAACAGGATAAAAAAGTAAAGGTTTTCAAAAGTGGCTCCCATTTTTTTTCTTGCCTCCCCACTCCTCCACATAAGCTACCAATTTATTCTTAAGGTTGGCATCCTGCACCTCAGTCAGATCCATTCACCTCTCTTATTATGGTGTCTTTCTTCTTAGTTCAGCCACTGTCATCTCCCCAGAATTCCGGCCACATCTGCTTAACTATTCTCTCCACCTTGAGTTATGTCCCTTCCAACCTGTCCATCTCCACACAGTGGCCAGAGTGATCTTTCTGAAAATCCAATTATATACTTCCTGACACGACTGAGGCTCTCAGTTGCACGTATGTCATGGTTGCTCTTTAACATGGCCTTGCTCCAGGCCTGCTCTGCTTCCTAGTTAGCTCATCTCCAGTCACTGTCTCTGTTCTAGCTGTCCCTACAACTCTGACCCGATAGCAGTCACTCCTCTGTGTCTTCTGGGCATTTCACATACTGTTTCATCTGCCTGGATGGCCAAGCCTAGTGTGCTTAGCTAATTCCTTTGCATTTCTCAGATGCTGTATGTAAATGTCACTTCCTTTTGAAAATGTCACTTGGCTTCACAAATTTGGTTTAAGTGACTTTCCTCCAAGTTCCCCAAACATTATGCTTTGTCACCCATCACCCAGGATTGCAGTGATCTGTAACCGTGAAGACTGCAACTCTCAGTGCAGTGCTGGTGGCTGTTTTGTGGGGAATGTATGAGCCTCCTTTGTAGATTACAGCTGTAGATTAGAATGAGAAATGGAGTTCAGGGGACCAGCATCTGCTAGCTAGAATGCTTCAAATGTTGATGCTAATAAAGTAGGTTTCTGGATGTTCGCCCACCCCTGGTTCTGTATCCTCGCCTGCAGGAGTGTGACCACATGTGCCCATTTCAGAGTGTGCCTTCGTGGTGCAGATCATGGTTTGCAATACAGGATACTCTGGTCCATTTTACCTTCTCTCCTTTGATCTAATCTCTAGTAGATTGGGTTGCTAAAGAACAATTTGATGCCAGAAATGTAGACCGTAGAAAAACAAAGGTATTCAACCTGTAATCTACAAACCAGTGAGTAAGCCTTTGAACATCCCAAGCCACCTACTCCTGAATAAGACTATAAATTGTTTTACTGTTCTGGAATGTCTTTCAGATAGTCTCTGGAATGCCACAGATACCATATTATAACCTCACCCTCATTCAAAGATGATGCATTGACATTGTTGACACAGCAGAGATACAAGTTAAATTTGCATTCTTTTAACAGAAGGGTTGTAAACTACATTTGCATGGCCTGTGTCTAGGGAAGATATTGTATTACATACTATGGAGGAGATCCAGAACTGTATAATAGCCTTTGGTGATTGTACCAGGTTGTCCCTGGTACATTCAGGCGCTTACATGTGAGTGTATCCAGGTTCCTAGTTCAGGAACTTCCTTCTAAACCCTATTTAGCAACCCTATTTACTCTTACATTTGTATAGAGTTTTTTGTTTTTTTTTTTTTTTTGGGAATATTTTTTTTTTTTTTTTTTTTCTTTTTTTTTTTTTTTTTAAATAGAGGCATGCTTTATTTATTTATTTTACTTGTTTGTTTGTTTGTTTATACATGCACTGGGTACAGTCAGAAGTGCGGGAGGGTGAGAGAATTCACCAGAGCCAGAGCGGGGTGCAGAGCAGGCAGAAGGACCGAAGTACACTGCTGAGGGGAGCAGCGGGCGGCAGGAGAGGTCTGCGCGCCATGTGGGACCCTCCTCCGGTGGCCAGGGAGCAGCCGGGGATCAAACCGGCGCCGCAGAGGTCACGGGCAGCTTCGCAACCCAGCGCTCAACCGCTGCGCCACCGGGGAGGCCCACATTTGTATAGAGTTTTACAATTAGTTAGGTATGTGCAAGATCTCCATTTGACCTTCTACACGCTCTTTAAAGTGGGTTCAGGAATTACCACTGTCATTATTAGGTGAAATGGCAGAGCAGAAATCATACAGCTAGTAATTAAAGAAGTATAGTTGTGCCCTATGCCTTTGTGTTCAGGATAACGTATGTGAGTATGTTTTGTGTATGTGGAGCAACAGTTTATCATACCTCTCTTTTTAAGGTCTGAACCAATTGAGCGTAGAGTCAGGTCTCATCATGTTCAGTTTTACTGTAGATAAAACTAGATTGAAGAGCAGAGCCAGGACACATACCTGATCCAGGACATGGCCCTTCTGCTCCCCACTCCCCCTTCCATCCCAGTTGAGCTCACCCCCTTAGTCCTGGATGTGGTAGAGGATAGCTGCCAGCCTCAGGGTGCTGCCTGGTGCTGAGGAGTAATTGAGGAGCTGGGGCTCAGGCGGGCAGCAAGAGAGAGCATCACTGCATGGGGATGAGTAGGGACAAGGAGGTGAGAGAGTAGCACCAGTCTCTCCCCAACTCTTCTGGGAGTGCAGGGATGCCTATTCTGTGAACTTTGTGGCAGAGGGTTCAAAGGTGCTTGTGGTGTCAACTCACTTGGGAAGAGAAGACTAAGCTCCTTGAGACCAAGGACCCCATATGTTTTGACACATCCTTTGTCCCCCAAAGTGTATTTCAGGGAGTCGAGCATGTAGTGATGCCCCACAAATTCCCACAAGGAATAGCATGGAGTTAGCAATGCGTAGATACTCTTGCATTACCTCTTCCCTACTGAGGGCACGCTGGCTGCCCACCAAGCTGTCTTAGCCATCAGACCATGCTGGCTCTCACCAGTGAGTCTGCTTCAGAGGGTGATAGCACCCTGGCTCCTCCCTTTTGCTGCCCTTCCCTGCTTAGATTTTACATCCCACATACAGCTGTTTAGAATATTCACGCACAACTTGTTTAAACCACTTTCTCCTTTTCTTCTTATGCTTCTTTGTTGAACTACTGGAGGATTTTTTTCTTCTTTCCTGCGCTTCTTCCTGCCTCCTTTGTCAGCCCTCTTCTCCCTCTCTCAGATTTCTCTTTCTTAACCTGGTAAAGAAGTCAAAGAATAGAGCTGGTGATACTCTTCCTGCATTAAGAAGTTACGTTATACTCAATGAAGAATGAGTTTTAAAAGTCGTGAAGATGCCCAGGAGACTGTTTGGAAAGTCAACAAATGTGTTGTTTTTCTTTTAATTAAGCTTTTCCTGAAGCACCAACATTAAGAACCAATAGGTTTATTATATTATTTAGCAGGATAAGTACAGTAGTAATGCATGCTATCATTTTTCATAGCAACATTTTTTTTTGTGTGTGTGGGACCCTCGCCGGAAGCCAGGGAACGAACTGGCACTGCAGAGGCTGTGGGCAGCCTCGCAGCCCAGCCTCAACCACCGCGCCACCAGGGGAGGCCCCAATAGCAACATTTTGTAATGCTCGGTGTGAACAGGCTTTTAGGAGCCAACCTATGAACCCACTAGCTTCTCATTTTTGTGGGCAACTGTAGTGTTCCAGGTTTAGAATAGTTTGTCGGACACAGCCAGTGTGCTGTGTGTTCTGGATTCTTGTTAATTTGGTAGACATGGGAGTTTACAGTCTTGGTTAAGTCCCAGAGCAAGCTGGGAATAACAGGGAATTCTTTGCTTCTTGCACGTGACATGTCATCTCGGATGTCTGTCCCACAGGAAAAGCATTTGACATCACCTACGTGCGCCTCAAGTTCCACACCAGCCGCCCCGAGAGCTTCGCCATTTACAAGCGCACCCGGGAGGATGGGCCCTGGACCCCATACCAGTACTACAGTGGCTCCTGCGAGAACACCTACTTCAAGGCCAACCGAGGCTTCATCCGGACAGGAGGGGACGAGCAGCAGGCCTTGTGCACAGACGAGTTCAGCGACATTTCCCCGCTCACTGGGGGCAACGTAGCCTTTTCCACCCTGGAAGGAAGGCCCAGTGCCTACAACTTTGACAACAGCCCCGTCCTGCAGGTAGGCATCCAGAGGTTGACTTTGGAGCCAGGTAGTTTTTCTGCAAACAGGATGCGGGAAGGTTGTGAGGGGAGCCTGTATGCTTACTTCTGAGGCCAGGGGCAGGAGGAGGCTCCCTCTGGCAAGGCAGACAAAGACTGGCTTATATTCTGCTCTTCTGTGACTGTTAGTGATTTTGTTCCTACTGCCCAGATGACGTTTGTTTTGTTCTTAATGTACTAACCTTGATGGGTAAACTTTGCTTATTTTTTAAGAAATTGAAAACTTTAACTTTAGTACCTATTACTTGAGGTGGCAGTGTCTTGAGGAGGATATTTGAACTAATTTACCCAGTTTTCTTGCATTCTTTCTTACCTCCTCTTTGATTTGACAAAATGAAAAATATTTTTTAACTGTAGCAAGGGGGAATAATCAAAACAAGCTATTTAAGATCACCACCTTTCTGCATTGTGGTACACGGAAATTTCGAGTGATTTGTCTGGCACCATTACCGGTCACTGTGAAAAATCCTCGACAGCTAAATCTGCTGGTGTTTGTGCAAATGTGGGTACCTCTGGCATGGTGCTAACACATTGTGATGGAAACATTCCCTATTTAAAAATGGAATTAAGAATTTTTTTTCCTTGTAAATTCTGTGTGCTTATTCCTTACAAGCCCCCCTCCCCCCAAAATGGAATCTTTACATATTGCTTAGATTTCTGTGAACTTATGTCCTGGTTCTTGATTGTGGAGAGATTGATGAGCCTCATACCATGCTCAGCATGTAAACACAAAACTGGAGACGTTTCTGGCACATGACTGAGCTTAGCATCTAAATGGGGGCAGCCTGTTTTGAGACAAGGAATACTGATTGTGGGTTTGCAAATGCTCTGTACATTTTATGTAGCGCTGTTGAGATTTCTAAACAGGGAGTCCCCCTTTTTTTCTGGTCTTTATGTTTTTGTGTCTTTCTTTCTGGAATTTATTATGTTCTGGAAATGTAAATTGGTTGTATGCATTTGGACAGTAGCAAAGGATGAGAACATGATGCTCTGTGGTCAAGTTCTCCTCTTCCATTGCATTTCTGTAGGTTGCTAGGAGACCTGTGATTTTGATAAACTCTGAGGTTATAGTGAGCACTGAACGCTTGCAGAGGCCTTTGAGAAAAGTGTTTCTCGCAACAGTGATGTGTTCAAATTAAATGGCAGAAGGCATATCTGACTTTGATAGACAAAAAAGCAGAAAATTGAATGGTGGGGATAAGTTGATCAGCTAGCGAGCATTTGCTAGCTTTGTTTCTTCCTACACAGATTATTTTACTGGAGAGTCAATAGTATAGTCAGTAGGAAAAAGCAGTGAGGTAATGTTATGTCTGTGGTTTTCTGGCATCTTTGCTAACTATGTTCTTTGTGGGCTTGTCATGAGCAGTTTCCCCACTGGAGGAATTCTGAGATTTGCTGCCCTTTTTGCTAGAAGAACTCATGAGACTATATGTGGTAAAAATGCTATGGACATCTGTAATAGATTTGGCCAGTTGTTAGCATTATGCAAAAACACTAATTATGTGTCTCTGGATTTAAGAGCTCTGGCTTTTGCTTTCCAGTTGCATGGAGGATTAACTTTTAGCTGGTGTGACAGCTGACGGTGATAGGACATTTAGCTGGTCCGACAATAGGGAAAGAGGTGGTTGGCTCCTTAAGCTCCCTCCAGAAGCTGTGGTCTCCCAGATGGGGAGAGGAGAGCCTTCCTATTTCCACTTTGTAGGAATATTACTAAGGCTATATTGGCTTTGTTATAAATTAGCATTTATTTTCACTTTCTATAATGGGTCTTAATGTGACAAACATTCTGAACTCTTTAGATATATTTGATAGGTTAACTCATTTAACCCTCACAATAACTTATAAAAGTAAGTAGTTTTATTATCTCCCTTTTGTAGATGAGGAATCAGAGGCTAAGAAAAGATAACATGACTTGCCTTGAATCACACAGTTAATGGCAGCACTGGCATTCAAACCCTGCAAAGTCCAGAGTCTGTTCTTTTTCAGGTGCCCATTATGAAAGGAATGGCTTATAGTCCTCCTTTGAGAAGCTTTGCTTCAAGGAGAGCTGTGATAAAGAAGAAGCCTGGAGAAGATATAATAAGCATTAAACACAGAGATATGTTTAGTTATTTACATTACAGACTGAAAGATTCCTAACATTGTGGCCATGAGTGGGAGTTGTTATTGGCCTTCCAAGTTTGGATACAGTGAAATCATCCTCTCTTCTCCTTTCTAATTCCAGTTGGAGGCTTCATGGGAGATTAGCTCCGTGTTGTTCTATATGCCAGGTGTTTGGCAGGGTTCTTGCAATGCATCTTGATCGGGGTGAACCTCCCAGTTTCACATGGAGCTTCCTGAACACGAGGACTCCCAACAGCTCTGTGCTTGCCTGTTCTGTTGCCATGGGTGATTCTGTCCCAGGAGAGGACCCAAGTGGGCGTGGTGTCCTTGGGTGGTTCTAGATAATATGTTACCTTGGAGCTTGATGGTGTTAAATAGTCGTGCTTTGTTATCTCTAGTGATTTGTGTGGACCTGGGCTTACTCTGTGGCATGGTGCTGGATTTCTTTCTCACTTTGGTCTCACATCTGCAAGGAGGCTAGATCAGGCTTTTTCAGGGGATGCTCGAAGTATTCTAAGAGGGTAAATGCTGGGGTGCAAGTGCTTCTCATACCTTTGCTTGGGACATGTTTGCTGATGTTCTCTTGACCAAAGCAAGCCACATGCCCAACCTAAAGTCAGCATGGAAGGGACTGCATGGGGGTTGGGCACTGGCAGATGTGATGCATTAGGATCATTACTATGATAATCTACTACAACGGTAAACATCTGATCGATACTAGCTCATTGAAAGGGCATTTATTACGACTAAGGTCTCATAAAACCAGGGAAAAGCTATAAAGCCTTCTTTCTTGTCCTCTGCCATTATGGCTCACCTTCCATCATTTGTGGCTTCTTCAAATTCTTTCATTCATTCAGCATATTTTATTTGAGTATCTATGCTAAACACTAGGAAAACTGCAGTGAACAAAACCAGGTATTTCTACCCTCATGTGACTTACACTCTGTGGGCATGGGGTGTGGAAACATATAACAGCATATAGGGAGTTGGGTGGGGGCGGGGGCAATCAATTTTAGATAGAGTGGCCGGGGAGGGTTTTAGAGAAGTGACACTGTATGTGGGAAGGGTCAAAACAAAGACCGCACTGGCTTGTTCAGTAAGAGTTTATGGTGATTTTGTACTTGGGGGTCTCTCCCAGGTCTGTCAGTAACGGATTGGGTATGGAGGGAGAGACAGATGGGACCAAATGGGCAGGAAGAGGCAGTGACCAGTGTACCTAAGCACTAGGTATTGAGAGTATATTACCTTTGAGCCTCTCAACAATCTCGTGAAGAAAGTAGTATTCCTGCTTTGGGGGGACTCAGGTAATAAAAGAACAGCTTTGCTCAAAGCAGAAAAGAATTAAAAAGAATGAGAAATTAATGGAGTCACTGGTTATTAGAATAGGGTTGATGCACAAGAGCACAGAAGTTAACTGATGCATTATCTGTTTAGAAGATTTTGTTACACTTGGGCCTCTCGGGTGGCGCAAGGGGTTAAGACACAACCTATGAAGCTGTTTGCAGCCACGAGTTTGATCCCCAGCCAGGGAGCTACCCACATGGCACAGCAGCCCTCTCCTGCCTCGCCCGCTGCTCCCCTCAGCAGTGTATTTCAGTCAGTCTGCCTGTTCTGTTCCCCACTCTGTCTCTGGTGAATCCTCTCACCTCTGCACCTCTGGCCTGTACCCTAGTTCTTGTATGCATAAATAAATCTTTAAAAAAAAAAAGTTTTTGTCACACTTACGCATTGCACATCCATGTTCTTTATCTGCCATTTCTGGGTCTGTTTTGTTTTCTAACAGGAATGGGTAACTGCCACTGACATCAGGGTCACTCTGAATCGCTTGAACACCTTTGGAGACGAAGTGTTTAATGACCCGAAGGTCCTCAAGTCCTATTATTATGCAATCTCTGATTTTGCTGTGGGTGGTAGGTAAGTAAATGATCAAATCTGTTTAGGAGTGAATGTAGCAACTTGTTTGCAAATATCTTCATAATGTTTTAGACTATTCTTTACCAGCAGCCGGGCAGCAGTGCTTTGTGAGTGATGTTTGGCTGGGAAGATAGGAACCAACCTCAGATATCTTTCTTGTCAGAGACCTCACTGTCCTGGAAACAAAACAATTAGATTTTCTAAAGCCATGTGAAATCAGCACACCTAGTGATTTCTATTGAGCACTAAGGGCAAAGCACCATGATAGGCACTGTGAAGCCTCTAAAGAGGTGTAAGATTGACCTTTTCCTCCCAAGAATGACTCAACCTTCTAGGATCCTAGAAATGAACAGGGCCGGCTATATATGACAATGTGAAAAATTAAATGTTAGTGCCATCACTTTTTAAACTAGAAGGTGAAGCCACTAGCAAAGATGCCATATGTCAGAAAAGGTGCCGTATGACAGAACTGTCAGGCTGGAGAAGCAAATGGGATCTAAATAGACTTTTAAAGAATGGGTAAGCTTTTGATAAGGAGGAAGGATATCTGGGTTGGATGCCAGATGGGCATGTCATGAGCAAAGACTTAAGAGTTGGGAGAGTATAAAGCCGTGTGACCTCAGGAAAATGTCATATATGGAATTGTAGGGTTGTTACGCGAGAGTGATAGTTTGGTGGTCAGAGATTTTAGGTAGGAGGTCAAGAGTCTTGGACTTATTGCTCCTGTTTTAGACTTGAGGTTTCAACAACAGTGTCCCTGGTATGGGAATGCTTGGTGAAAATTGATAGACACTGTAACCAATGAAATGATGCAGAATTTTTAGAGTAGGTCTATGAAATGAAAACAGTGGGTTGGGAAGATTAGTATGAAGGCAGGGTGAGCAGCGTACAAGCAGGAGAATTTATATTCCTGTGATGACACCATGTGCTCTAGGTGTTAGCAACAAATATCTGATGACAGGGTGAAAAGGAACATGTGGATGCTTTTTACTGTGAAGAAAGAATTATCAGGGTTTTAATCAAAGGTGATTTTAAGGTTTGGTGATCAGGAGAATGATAGTACCATTAACAAAGTAACTTAAGTCAAACTAATTCAAGGACATGGTAAGTTTATTTTTAGACAGGCAAAATTGTAGATAGTGGCAGATATCTCTGTATGTAGCAGTCAAGGACAGGAGTTTGGGACAGAGAGCAGGAGACAGCAATTTGGGATTCACTCTGGCACAATGTAGGTGCTTCAGAAGTGTTTGAGTGTGTTATTAAGGGAACTGATGGCTGTTTTTAAGAAAGCTGATGAGGGAAACATCAGTGCCCCAGAGAGCATGTTCATTTTCATGAGATTTCCTTGAGCCATTAGTTTATGATTATACCTGCATCTAGGGGACCCTCAAGGGACTCTTTGCCAAAATAGTCTGACAGTCTGTCAGTACTAGAGATCCATATGGTGGTGAGGAGCCTAGAGTGACTTACAATTTTCAGATTGGAGAACCTTAAAATCACTCATTTTAGCAGAATATTGCTGATATAGTTATTGACTTATGTGCTCACATAGTTCTTGGCACATAACACAGCTCTCCTGATAACCTGATGATGCAGAAATCATTATCCCCCTGTCTTCCAGGTGAGGCACAAAGGTTACATTGATTGATAATAGGGCAGGCTCTCAACAGGCAGCCTGGCTTCTGAGTCCATGCTCGCTGTAGCCACTACACTTGTCCACCTCTTTACACACATTTGACTGCAGACAGTGATCCCACAGGTGTCTTCAGAAATTGTTAGGGATGTCTGGTTTATATCCCATCCCTTGTTAAATAAAGCTGCCTTTCTGGTCTTTTGCTTGTTTCATTTTTCCTCATACTGAAAACTCAAACAGCCATTACTTATATTGTTCAGCTCCTCAGTTTACAATTCTGAATGGTAAAACTGAAAGACATTGTGAAATCATTTGAAGTTGTCTGGGTGCATCATCTTTCTGTGACTATGGAAAGAAATTAATTTCTAGGACTTTGTAGCTATTCCACTCTTTTGAGTGTCTCTTCTCTCCCCAGATGTAAATGTAACGGGCATGCAAGTGAGTGTGTGAAGAATGAATTTGGCAAGCTGGCATGTAACTGCAAGCACAATACTTACGGGGTAGACTGTGAGAAGTGTCTTCCTTTCTTCAATGACCGGCCATGGAGGAGGGCAACTGCAGAGAGCGCCAGCGAATGCCAACGTGAGTGCCCTCAGCGTTGGCTGCTCACTTGTCACCAAGACTAACAGAGATGGAAGAGGGAGAGTGTGGCTTCCTTGATTCCGCCTTGAAAAGAACACCCTGAAAGGCAGTCCTTCTTACGTCATTTGAGAAAGTAAACCCTGTGCATGTCAGAGGGCAGAGATGAGGGCAGTTGACTGTAAATATAAACTTACTGTCCATATATTTTCTCCTTTTGTGTAGCCTTAATGAACACACTTCTCAGAGTGAGAGCAGCATCTTCAAGGTTTGACCTTCTACTTAGATCCAAATACTGCATTAGCATAGTCTACTTTAAAGTAGGATTTCTTAATCTTTTTGTTTCCCTATAAGATATTCTTTTTCCTTCTAATGCTCATTTACTCCAGCATACAAGGTCACTGATTAACATGTGTTAGGTTCTAGACCTTAAGTTCTGGACTGAGACTATCATTCAAAAGATTATTTCTCAAGAATATTTTTCCTTTATCTCACTGAAGATAATGGGGAGAATTTTCCTCTGCTCCCATGAAAAGAGGGTGTAGATCTTTGGAAGAAGGAGTACATCAATATTCCTAGGGAAGGGTAAAGTGAAAAAGGTTACACATTGTTTACCTCTTCTCTGAACAGAGAGCGGAAAGAATCTTAGAAAGGAACCATGAAATCATGTAGGACTTACCAAGGACTTAAATAAGAAACTTTTTTTTAAAGAGATTTATTTATGCGTACAAGAACTGGGGTACAGGCCAGAGGTGTGGGGGGATGAGAGGATTCATCATAGACAGAGTGGGGAACAGAACAGGCAGACTGACTGAAATACACTGCTGAGGGGAGCAGCAGGTGAGACAGGAGAGGTCTGCTGTGCTCCCTGGTCTGGGATCAAACTCGTGCTGCAGTGGCTGCTGACTGCTTCATAAGCTGTATCTTAACCCCTTGTGCCACCGGGGAGGCCCTTAAATAAGAAACTTTTAAAGCAGCAATAATTTTCTTATGTCCATATAATTATTCCTTCATACTCTCTTAATAATAAAGGGAAGGGCCTCCCTGGTGGCGCAAGGGGTTAAGCACTGCACTGTGAAGCAATCTTCAGCCTCTGTAGCACGAGTACGGTCCCCAAACAGCCAGAGAGAAACCCACATGGCAAAGCAGACCTCTCCTGTCTCGCGCGCTGCTTCCCTCAGTAGTGTATTTCAGTCAGTCTGCCTGTTCTGTTCCCTGCTTTGTCTCTGATGAATTCTCTCACCCCCCTGCATCTCTGGCCTGTACCCCAGCTCTTGTATGCATAAATAAATCTTTAAAAAAATAATAAAGGGTATAAGAAAGAAGGTAGTCTGAACCTGTAGGAATCATTGGCAGAAATTTTGAGAAAGGACTGATACCTTAACTCATGACTAGAGCTTCTTAGAGCACACTTTCTTGTGCATCTTTTCTTTCCTTCAGCAAATCCAGGATTTGCAGATAAATTCCACATCCTGAGCACTTGCTTGAGCATCTTTAATTTTTTTGCTGTCCAGTGTTTGATGCTGCACGGTAAAGACTGGTAAAGGAAATAATGAATTGCCAAAAAAAGTGACAACTAAATCATGTACACATGCTAGAAAAGTAGTCGGGGTTAATGATGTGGTTGTATTTTAAGTCTTTTCAGGAACATAAGGAGAACACACCAGTTTACCAAGTGAACCAAATGCTGTAGCTGGAGAACTTTATTGAGGAACTAAGTGTAGTGGCAGGAAGGGCACAGGGCAGGATCTCTATGATTCTATGCGGGTGGGATAAAGGAGGAGTCCTGGAGCCCTCGGTAGCTTTTTCAGGCTTTTATTGTGTTTACCAGGTGCACAGTAGGCAGGGGTACTAGGGTCCCGGGAAGCTGGCGGTCTTCCCAGCCCCCAGCAAGTTTTCTCTCTCTCTGGGCTCTCCGACGTTCTCTTGTGGCCTTTGCTTCTTCACTCCTTTCGCGCTCTTTCGCTCTCCTGTTCCCCGTGCTGCCGCCCTTATAAGCCCAGTCTCAGCCCAGGTGGACCCACCTACGTATGCCCACAACCCCACTCCAGGTGCCTGCCATCAGGCATGCATTCAGGACCACAGGGATCCATCATCAATCCTAATGGGGAGAGGGCAGAAAAGCCCGATACTTTACTTACCCTATACCGAGTTAGTTTGCTTTTCTCTTTGGTCCATTCAGCTCTATGATTCCATCAAAGAGTGAGGTTTCTAAAAGTTGGACAACTACAGTTGTATTGTCAGGATACTAGGGTTAGGAAAGAGAAAATTACAGCTGCCTTCTCTCTTTCAGCTGATGATGGAGAAGCTGCAGCATCCACTTTGGCTGTGAGTTAGACAGCTCAGACACGATTTGTTCTGCCTTTTAGTTTCAGAGGCCCAGATGTTTAAGTGGAATGGGCTGGGTAGGTGAAGGATAATCTAGGAAGAACTAATGAAGAAGGAAAATGAAGCAATCTGTAAAAGTTACTCAACACAATTCTTATTTTTGATGCCAGTGATTCAAGTTTCTAAAAAGTCATCAAATATAATGCCATATAAGAACTGATTGTAAAGGAAGGGAGAAATGAAAAGACTCTTTTTAAAAATATTTTTAAATTTTTATTTAATATTTTTTATTAAAATTTTTTTTGAACATAAACTGCTTGCTCTATCTGAAATTAAATAAGATTTTTATTTAGTGCTCAGTCCTGCTTATAGTTTGGGCAGCATTAATAATTCTGAGAAAAATTATCTTAATAAATGAAGAATTTCTGTGACTACAGACCCTTGTTCTTACAATATGGCTGTGCTATGCGGGGAATATAGTTACTTGACATGACCAGTGGACTTGGTGGTTCCAAGTAGGTGAGTGTAGCTAGTAGATCTAGATTTCCTTTCAATTCCACTTACATCTACAGAGACACTAATTTTTTTTAATTTTATTTTTATATTCCCCATACAATTGCAAGCCTCTTATTTTGACCCCAATCCCTCCTCCCCACCCCCCCATAGTGTGTCTCTGGTTCATGGTTATTTGTTTGTTGATTTTGATTTTTTCTTTCTTATAGTTATTCTTTTTCCTGGTCCCTTAAGTTTTCTAGATTCCTGCTATGAGTGAGATTATCCGGTATTTTTCTTTTTGTTTCTGGCTTATTTCACTGAGCATGATCCCTTCCAGCTCCATCCATGTTGCTGCAATTTGCATGTATTTATCTTTTTTGATTGCTGAGTAATATTCCATTGTGTATATGTACCACATCTTCTTGATCCAGTCATCTCTTTTTGGGCATTTGGGTTGTTTCCAAAGCTTAGCTATTGTAAATAGTGCTGCTATAAACATAGGGGTGCAGGTGCTCTTTGGAATTGATGTTTCTGTGTCCTTTGGGTAAATACCTAGGAGTGGAATTGCTGGATCATATGGAAGCTCTATCTTTAGCAGGTTGAGGAATCTCCACACAGCTTTTCATAGTGGTTGGACCAGTTTGCACTCCCACCAACAGTGCAGGAGAGTTCCTTTTCTCCACATCCTCACCAACATTTGTTGTTGCTAGTTTTTTTAATATGTGCCATTCTCACTGGTGAGAGATGGTATCTCACTATAGTTCTGATTTGCATTTCCCTGATTGCAAGTGATGTTCAACATTTTTTCATATGCCTTTTGGCCATTTGTATTTCCTCTTTGGAGAAGTTTCTTTTTAGCTCTTCTGACCATTTTTTGACTGGATTATTTTCTTTGTTGTTGGTGAGTCTCATCAGCTCTTTGTAGATTTTTGTGATCAGTCCTTTATCATTAGTGTTGTGTGCAAAAATGTTCTCCAAGTCGATGGAGTTTCTCTTTGTTTTGGTTATTGTCTCTTGCTGTGCAGAAGCTCTTTAATTTGATGTAGTCCCAGCTGTTGATCTTTGTCTTCACTATCACTGCTTTGGGTGATGTGTCAGAGACACTGATTTTAACCCATGTCACTCAGCTTACTCCTGACTGGATATGTAAGTAATCTGGCAATTTGGAAGTTATGTGTCTAGTTTCTTTAAATCATCCCAAACTTAAGAAGGAAGTTAAGGTAAATTGAAGTCTATGTGTAAATTGGCACCTTGTTCTTAGATTTGTGTATAGAATGAAAGACAAAAATGCAGAAGAAATTTAATATGACTTGGCTTTTATATATGAGCAATCAACTGAAAATTCTAAGTACAGGAATTCTTTGTAGTTTATAATTATAATTTTGATAAGCATGAACATTTCTATGGTTATCTATACTGGTTATCTGTACTGATAGGTTATCTATACTGATAACGAGGCTCTATAAACCCTTTATTGACAAAAACTGGATTTATTTTAGATTTTATTTTTCTTTTGAATGAATAGTGCATGTGGTGGTTATTCTTATTTTCCCACCACCTAGCTATCACAGTTATCTGGGAGATGAGGTTTAGTTTTCTTTGAGTCTTTTAAAAATGTCTTCATGATGTGGTATATATACACAATGGAATATTATTCAGCAATCAAAAAAGATAAACTCATGCCATTTGCAGCAACGTGGATGAAGTTAGAAGGAATTATACTCAGTGAAATAAGCCAAAAGGAAAAAGAAAAATACTGGATGGTTTCACTTATAGCAGGAATATAGGGGAACCAAGTAAAACATCAGTGTGAAAAAATAATAATAGTACAAAACCCAACAAAGCAAAAACAGACATTTATAAATCAGAGACATCCTGCAGGCGAGGAGGAGGGAGAGGGATCGGAAAGTAGAGGGAGGAGCACAGGGGACTAAAGGTGATGGTGCACGGGTGCATTGGGGAAGGAAACTCTATGGGGACTCCACCTGAGGGGGTGGGGGGAAGCAAATATTGTTTAAAAATGAACAATGATGTAAAAAAAATTAAAAATTTTAATTAAAATAAATAAAATAAATATCTTCATAAAGGAACATGGACTGACTTAATGCATATGCTGTTCTTGCACTGATAGCCTGCGACTGCAATGGGCGATCACAGGAATGCTACTTTGACCCTGAGCTGTATCGTTCCACTGGCCACGGGGGCCACTGCACCAACTGTCAGGGTAACACAGATGGTGCCAACTGTGAGAGGTGCCGGGAGAATTTCTTCCGCCTTGGAAACCATGAAGCCTGCTCTCCGTGCCACTGTAGTCCTGTGGGTAAGTGACAGGCAGGCTCTGCTGCAGCCTGATGAATTGAAAAACAAATGTTTCCTGTGCCCTCAGAATATAAAGTTTGGGGTGCAGTTTCTAGGCACTGGCATCGTTTAAGTACAGAAGTGTGTGCCTTATCATAACACATCCTGATTCTAGGTCTGCCTGACCGCCCCCCACCCTCCACTCTCTTTAATCAAGTTAAATTTTCAGATGATTTTCTGGTGTGTCTAAAAATGTGGGTTGGCCTGAGTAATGATTTGTAAATAATTAGCAACAAGATCACAGAGACCCTTTGAACTTTGACTGTAGAAGGTTAGCTGCTTAGTGAGCTCTTCCTTGTTAATGATTTTATTTAGTTTAAGCTCTTTAGGGAGCTGAACTTTGCTAGCATGTTGATGTGTATTCAGAGATGTGGAGCACCCTTAATCTTTTTTGAAGAGTTTGACCTTTGTTTTTATTGTTGATGCCGATATATACTTGACTTCTCAACATGGGGCTTAGGGAGGCTGTGCTTGACCCCAGCAAAGTGACTGGTCTAGGATGAAGTTTATCATCAGGTGCAGAGTGATTTGCTAGTGTTTTCAACTTTATGAATCCCGAATATTGTAACTAAAGGACTTTAGCTACTTTGAGTTCACCTTTGGGTATATATGTGGAAAGTTCAGGTATCATGACTTGAAAGGAGGAGTTCTGATTTAAAACCTGATCCTTATTCTCTCTGTAACCATCTAGAGATTTCATGTTGGTTTTCAGGTGTTGTTTTTTTGGTTTTTTTTTTTTTTTAAAGATTTACTTATTTATTTATACAAGCACTGGGTACAGTCAGAAGCGCGGGAGGGTGAGAGAATTCACCAGAGCCAGAGCGGGGAGCAGAACAGGCAGATGGACGAATTACACTGCTGAGGGGAGCAGCGGGCGTGGCAGGAGAGGTCTGCGCGCCATGTGGGACCCTCGCCGGCAGCCAGGGATCGAACCGGTGCTGCAGAGGCTGCGGGCAGCTTTGAAGCCCAGCACTCAACCACTGCGCCACCAGGGGAGGCCTGTTTTTTGTTGTTTTTAATTGCCAGTCTTCTTTCTTTGACACATTAATTTTACATGTCTCTGGTGATTGACAAACTCTCTAAATTTCAGGTTCTCTGAGCACACAGTGTGATAGCTACGGCAGATGCAGCTGTAAGCCAGGAGTGATGGGTGATAAGTGCGACCGCTGCCAGCCTGGGTACCATTCTCTCACTGAGGCAGGATGCAGGTAAGATTGTTCCAAAGCTGAACAAAAGGGGCAGAATCTAATGTACTTGATTCATAATAACAGTATCTTGTGACTTATCTGCAGCAATAGAAAGTTTTCCCCCATAGTAATAGTCAACAATGTTCAAGACTTCTGATCATAATGATGACCCAGAATTGGTTTGTGCATAGATTGAAGAATTTTTAATATCTAAATGTAGTGAGTAACCTTGATTGAAACTGAATCCAAATATAAAATTGACTTTAGGATTCACATTTGCTCTTACTCTTTTAAAAAAAGAATCTATTAACATGTTGTAAGACAGGAAGGAATGGACACAGGGCAGGTTTTCTATGATCCAGCAGACCTGGTAAAGGAGTAGTCCTGGAACCCTCAGTAGCTTTTGCAGGCTTTTATTGGTATTTACCGGGTACATGGCAGGTAGGGTGCTGGGGGGCGGGAGGCTGGCAGGCCTCCCAGCCCCCAGCAAGTCTTCATTCTATCTAGGCTCTGCAGCGTTCTCTCATGTTCTCTCTGCTCTTCTCATGGCTCTGATTCTCTCTCGGCTTCTCTGCTTCTTTCTCGGCTTCTGCTGGTGTCCCTGTGATGCCGCCTTATAACAGGGTTCCCTCCTCTATCCTAATGGTGGGAGGACAGAAAAGCCAGATATTTTTACCTTACCCTACACATGTAAAACCAAATGATTGACTTTATGTCCAATTTCTTTTCCTTCCTACTCTTCGCTCATTGTTTTTATTCATTTTCTCTTGGACAGACCTTGCGCTTGTGATCCTTCTGGCAGCACTGATGAATGTAATGTTGAAACAGGAAGATGTGTTTGCAAAGACAATGTGGAAGGCTTCAATTGTGAGAGGTAGCTCATCTTTCTCTACCTATTTTGTGTTTTCCCTGTTATCACATTTCAAGTACTAAAATGGCTGATTGTGTCTTAATCTTTTTCAGATGCAAACCTGGATTTTTTAATCTGGAATCATCAAATCCAAGGGGTTGCACACCCTGCTTCTGCTTTGGGCATTCGTCTGTCTGTACAAATGCTGTGGGCTACAGCACTTATTCTATAACCTCTAACTTTCAGATTGGTAATTTTGACCTTCCTTCCATCTCCTAGAATTGTCAGACTAGACTTAACAGTAGTTTTTTGAGTTAGTAACTCTTTGAGGGCTTTTTTATAGTAATAATACTTCATGTTTTTTAATGTGTATGACTTTCTATTTTTGCTTTTTAATTAATTTAATGAAAAGATACCTATGTTCTTAGAGTTTTCCATAGTGTGTACAAATGTTACATAAAATAAAACAAAATATAGTTTGACGGTTATAGCATATATAAATACTATTACAGCATTCATTTATTCAAAAACTTTTATTGATGACTTTCTATGTTTTCGTGATGTATAGAGGACTCATTGAATTCAGGGCATGTACAGTGTAGTGGCACTTATGTTTTCATCTCTGCCTCCTACTTGCAGATGAGGATGGGTGGCATGCAGAACAGAGGGATGGTTCTGAAGCATTACTTGAGTGGTCTGCAGAGAGGCAAGATATCTCTGTCATCTCAGATAGCTACTTTCCTAGGTACTTCATTGCTCCTGGTAAGTGAAGCAAGAAAGTCATCTGGCTAGGTGTGTGCTCTTGGTGGTCTCATTCTCACATTCTTGCACACCATTGTTGTGTTTGCATCCAGCAAAGTTCTTGGGCAAACAGGTGCTGAGTTATGGGCAGAACTTCTCCTTCTCCTTTCGAGTGGACAGGCGAGACACTCGCCTCTCTGCAGAAGATGTGGTGCTTGAAGGAGCTGGCCTGAGAGTGTCTGTGCCCTTGATCGCTCAGAGCAACTCCTACCCTAGCGAGACTACAGTGAAATACATCTTCAGGTAGGGGCAGCCATTTTTTGTGAAATCTGAGTTGAACAAAAGGATGAAAAATGGTTTCTTTATTTCAACTTATCTAACCTCAAAATGGATGTTGAAGAGAAACATCTGGCTTATCAAGAAGACTTTGCAGAAATCCTTTTGATTACCTATAACCTTTCCAATTGACTGTCCGATAATACTCACTTTTCATTAAGTTAGATAGTTGGAGCATTGCATCCTTGGTGCCGTAAATGAAGAAGAAATGAATGCTTTCTCAGTTTCTAGAACTGTCCTTACAGAAGTTGATGTGGCCCTTTCTCTCTCTCCAGGCTCCATGAAGCAACAGATTACCCTTGGAGGCCTGCTCTTACCCCTTTTGAGTTTCAGAAGCTCCTAAACAATTTGACCTCTATCAAGATCCGTGGGACATATAGTGAAAGAAGTAAGTTATGATATAGTTTGGGAGAATTGCTTTAAAACGTGTAGCTGGAAGGAGGCCTCCCTGGTGGTACAGGGGATTAAGCATCAACACTGTGAAGCAGTCTGCAGCTACTGTAGCATGAGTTCGATCCCTGGCCAGGGAACTGACCCACATGGCACAGCAGACCTCTCCTGTCTCGCTTGCTGCTCCCGTCAGCAGTGTATTTCAGTCAATCTGCCCATTCTACTCCCCACTCTGTCTCTAGTGAATCCTATCACCCCCCGCACCCCAGCTCTTGTATGCATAAATAAATAAATCTTTTTTTAAAAAAAACATACAGATAGAAGGATCTATGATAATGCAGTTTATCACTGTAACACTGAGATGGTTTATCTGCTTTCAAGGACCTGAAGAAATTTTGCTAAAATTAGTAAATGGTATGATTTGATAATAGGTCTATCGCATGTAGATTCTTTTAACCATTCTACTGGTTCAAGCTGCTTAACCTTCATTTTTTTGTACTTATTAATATGTAATTATAAAAGTCTTGATAATTTAACCATTGTCAAGAAAACTTTAAATTATGGAATGAACATTTGTTACAATTTTAGATAAGAAAAGCTGTTTTGGGCCTCCCCGGTGGCGCAGCGGTTGAGCGCTGGGTTGCGAAGCTGCCCGCGGCCTCTATGGCGCCGGTTCGATCCCTGGCTGCTCCCCGGCCACCGGAGGAGGGTCCCGCATGGCGCGCAGACCTCTCCTGCCGCCCGCTGCTCCCCTCAGCAGTGTACTTCGGTCCTTCTGCCTGCTCTACTCCCCGCTCTGGCTCTGGTGAATTCTCTCACCCTCCCGCGCTTCTGACTGTACCCAGTGCATGTATAAACAAAACAAACAAACAAACCAGCAAACAAATAAATAAAGCATGCCTCTATAAAAAAAAAAAAAAGAAAAAAGAAAAGCTGTTTTAAGGTATCCCTTTAAAGGTTTTTTCTTTCTTTCTTTCTACTTTTTTTTTTTTTTTTTTTTAAGGCAAACCTGCCTGGGGGATGTTGATGGTTTGGTGTCAGCATGTTGTATGCATTGATCTTTCATTTACCTCTGTTACCAGATGAAAAAGTCTTTTACGTAGTTAGAAACATGGATCTAAGATTAAGGAAAAGAAGTTAGAACTGAAGATGTGGAATTAAAAGTTTGTCAGTGTATGGGCAGTAATTTTTAAACTTGGAAATATGACCAAAAGTACAGAAAGAGAAAAGAAAAATCAGTCCTGGTAGCATAAATACTTAAAGATGATGCCCTGAGACTCAAGGGATAAAAAGAATTATATAACGCTTGCTTTAAAAACACAGTTAGTTAAGAACAGAGAAAAAAGAATTTTAAGGAGCAGAAGCAAGTGACCGGTTCAGGAAGATGGCAATATGACTGGCTTTTGGATCACGTGATAAGAAGGAGTCCTCAGTGAGGGGCTTGTTGGTGTTTTTTTAAGAAATTGAAAGTAAAGTTGGATTGTGGTGATTTGAAAGTGATCAGAAGGTGAAGAAATATTTAAGTTTTATGGTGGGGAGACTTAATGCTTAGAGTTAGAAGCACATTAACCTATGGAGATGCTTCTCATCACCTGTCTGGGAAAAGAAACCATAAACATAGATGTTAACTCCATTTTAAGCAGTAAGAGAAGAGATGTCTTTCAGTTTTGGGTTGGCGATTGCTAAGTATGTAAACATCAAGTAATGTTTCATAACATGGGAATAACACTTGAAATATATGACCGCAAGAGACAAGAGGGGAATGGAAATTAAAGGGAAATGTGATAACCAAGGGCTGCCTCTTCCACATGGCCTTCATGCTGATGTTGTCATGTGCACCGTTCAGCGGGATGAACCATCAGTCTAAGACTTGCATCATTTCAGTTTTCTTCCACAAATGAGAATGCATTGGCTATATGCATAATGGCTTTGGAATAATCACGTATTTGCCAGAGGTTAACTTTAGTACTAGAACTTGTTGACTTATTTATATTAAAAGATTTATTTATTTATGCATACAAGAACTGGGGTACAGGCCAGAGGTGTGGGGGTGAGAAGATTCACCAGAGGCAGAGTGGGGAGCAGAACAGTTGGATCTACTGAAATACACTGCTGAGGGGAGCAGCAGGCAAGTCAGGAGCAGTCTGCTGCACCATGTGGGTAGCTCCCTGGCCGGGTATCCAACTCGTGCTGCAGTGGCTGTGGATAGCTTCATAGTGCTGCATCTTAACCCCTTGCACCACCAGGGAGGCCCCATGTTGATGTATTTTTGCTGTTTTATGCAGGGCAGAAATATAATTGAATGTCACTTGTTGACAGGTGCTTTCCTTTTTCCTTGTCCTTGAGCTCTACAATCAGTGTCTGCTTACAGCAGAAGAATAAAAACCACTTACTGGCTACAGACTGAAACACTTTTTGTCCCCCACATTCTTGTTCTTACCTTTTTTTGCCTCAGCTTATTGCCCAGTGCTTTTCAGTATTCACATTGATGATTGGGCAGACGAAACTCCAGCAAATCTGTGTGTTTGTTAAGAATGTAAATTTGCAACCCAGATACTCTGCTCCAGGTATCACATGATTGTTCTAAATGCTGTTTCCTAGTTATCATCTCCATACATGCCTCAAAGTGATGGTTGCTCACCTGTGGGATTTTGGGTCTGCTTACTCTTTAGCATTATTGCCTTTTCATTAGGATTTGGAAAACAGAAACCAGTTCAGTGATTTTCTGTCCCCCACCACATACAGGTGCTGGATATTTGGATGATGTCACCCTGGCGAGTGCTCGTCCTGGGCCTGGGGTCCCTGCCACGTGGGTGGAGTCCTGCACCTGTCCTGTGGGCTATGGAGGGCAGTTTTGTGAGATGTGCCTCTCCGGTTATAGAAGAGAAACCCCAAGTCTCGGACCATACAGTCCGTGCGTGCTCTGTACCTGCAATGGGCACAGTGAGACCTGTGACCCCGAGACAGGTGAGAAGGTGCTGTTTGGTGGCTGCTAGGGACCGCAGTTCTCTTTCGCAGATGGGAAAGAAATGCTCACTGTCCTCTATTTGTACACCCACCTGCTTTCTGATACCCATTCTCCCACTAGGTGTTTGTAACTGCAGAGACAACACAGATGGCCCCCACTGTGAGAAGTGCAGCGATGGGTTCTATGGAGATTCAACCGTGGGCACTTCCTCTGATTGCCAGCCCTGCCCGTGTCCTGGGGGCTCGAGCTGTGCTGTTGTGCCTAAGACTAAGGAGGTGGTGTGCACCAATTGTCCTACTGGCACCACAGGTGAGCGCTCTTCCCATCCACTTGCAGTGCCCATCCATAGGAGCACCTTGGGAAGAGGGGCTTTGGGATCTTTTTGTTTGGTTCAATGACTACAGTTTCTGTGAAGGCAAGACTTTTGTAGGACACAGATTAGTATGAGATTCCCAGAATGCATGCTGGATACAGATAAAAGCTAGCATATTGATGGCCAAGTACTTTTCTAAGCTCTTTACATGTACTGTCTCATTAACCCTCACAACTCTCTGCGCTAGGTTTTGCTATTGCCCCCGTGTTACAGCAAATAAAACTGAGGCCCAGAGACACTGAGTGACATGGACAAGTCTACACAGCTTGTTATTGGAGAAGCTGGGATGTCTACCCCCAGGAGAGGGATGGACTCCAGAGATGATAGTCACTACAGTGTACTCTGTCTCATAGAATGAGAGCCAAACTTGATTTTTCAGGTTTAGGGCTTTCCTGGGATTCTCGTTGTAAAGTGATAAGTTTTAGATTCTCTAAATAGACCTTCTAGTGTACGAGAGTCCACTGCATTGAGTAGGGAGACTAGCTTTGCAGCTTTGGATAGGCCTCCATTCCTGTTCTCTGAGTTTCTATTTGATAAGAACATGAAATGAGGAACTGCCTGTGCTGACCCAGAGGAGCCAATGCTTGCTGGAGACAGAGAGGTTCCTTCTGTAGACAGAGAGGTTCTGGTCAGGCTTCTGATAAAATCCTTGGCTCCATTACAAGCTTTTTGTTCAAGCGATATTGCTACAGGGCATGAAAATAAGTGAAAATCAGAACAAAGCATTGAACTCATTAATCTGTATCTCTGTGTCTCGTCAAGACACATTGTAGTCGTTGGGAAACATCAGAACTCTCCACCTTCCTTCCACTGCTCCTCTGACCCCACACCAAGCACAAGGGCATTGCGACACAGAGAGAGGGAATCATTTGCTTAAGGAGCTGATAAAAAAGGAACAGAACTTGGTGTAGAATTTTGTATTTGTGACACTTTTCTGCTCTTGTTTTAAACAATGGTCTACCAGTCTCACACAGACAGACGTCTCCATCCCTGACTCCCCACAACCCAGCATGGCATGTTCTGGGCCCTTCCTGGGCTTCTCGTGGTCCCCCCGGTGTGCCTGACTCTTGCCCTGCCATATGCTGTTGTCTCTTTTCAGAGTGCTTTCCCTACTTTGCTTACCCAAATCTCACTTTTCTTTGGCCAGAGCCTCTCTATTCTGGGGTTGGGTTGAAATCCCCATATTTTCCTCAGTGAACCTTCCCTGCCCCACTCCCCTTGTTTCTGAGACCCTTTGCTCTGCTCTTACCATGTGGTTAGCATCCCACTGGCAGTTTCTGCTCTTAGAAGGACATTGCATGATGTTTTGCTGAGAGATCCCTTCACTCATTTCTTTCTTTCATACACACTCGAACTATAAAATTAAACAAGCATTGTGGAGACCTTCTCATATCTATGCTAAAGAATGTAAATGGTGAATTGACACTATCTGGGATACTTAATGGATACGTTATAATAGATCTTGGAAAATGTTATAATGGATTAATGCTATTATGACTCACTAGTCATTAACCAGATGTCTCTCCCACTTACTATGAAACATTTGTTTCATTGGTTATCACCTACCCGTATGTAGCAATTCTTGAAGATGTTGGTTAGGCAGTAAATAGCATCAATCCTGTAAAAGGACAATGCCATCATCCTTTCCCCCTATATTCTATAATCCCTATATTATTTTTATTGATGGTACTTTTAGCCACTTGATATTTTTATAGCTATTCTTTTGTTTATTATCTGTCTCCTCCTTCTGTTTCGCCACCTGTAATTTAAGCTCCATGAGAGCAGGGATTTTTGTGGGGTTTTTTTCACTTTTATATCCCTAACACCCAAATGTAGTTGGCAAATGTGTTCATTGAAGAAATGCAAATATTTATTGAATAAATGAATAGAGATTGCAGATTGCAATTGTTGGAACTGTTCTTCCTTGTTGGAAGACTATTAAAGAATTTGAATGACTACTGATAGTCACTGAGATCTTCATGGCTGGTGTGATTTTATATTTAATTTATTCTTTAAAATAGTCTTTTGAGGTAAATTATTGCTACTACTACTATTCTTTTTCAATAAATTTGAGTTCATGGTTTTGGGAGTACAAAGATCAGTAAGGAAGATACCTCTTCAGGGGCTTAAATGGACAGGAAACACGGATGCTTTTCATTCATTGTGCTTACTAGTTCAGATAAAGGTGTGCAGGCAAGAGAACTAACGGGAAGGGAGAAGCACACCTCTGGGGGTGTGTGAGGAGGAAAAGTAAGGCATAAAGAAGTTGTATGACTCCACCCAAATCATAATAATAGTACGGCTGGATTTGAGCCTGTGTCTTAGATGAGAGTGAAGAGTAGGTGAGGAATAGCCACAGAGAGTGTGTTAGTGGGAGAGCTTGTCATGGGCTGCTGTGACCTCTGTTTTAGGTTTTCTACCAGATGTTTTCTAAGTTTTATTCAAAACAGTTTCAGGACTTTCAAATATGGATCACATCTAGAATAACTAAATTATCTGATGAAACAGCAAAACAAGTACCATTTTAATCCTAATCTGAATAAGGATCTTGGATGAGAATCTGGTAACAATTTACATCTGAGACAAGAAGGATCCTAACTTCCTGTCCTCTCTTAATGTTATAGTACCTCTCTTGCCCCCCTCAGCCACACTGTCTGGTCACGTCAGTGGTCTCTGCCAAATGCTGTGCTCAGTTTTCAGTCTCCACCTGACCTCTCACTTTGCTCCAAACATTTTCTCCTCTGGCTTTTTGTCACACTTCACTCTCTGGTTTTCTCCTACCTCCGTGGATCCTTTGATCACTGCTGTTTCCCAGCCTGGGGCTTTCATATCTACTTTATATGTTCCCTTTAGGTGAGCAGATCTCACCTTTGTCTTCAAAAGCTGCTCTGGACCTATAACCGCCAAGTCTGTATCTTCCACTCTGACCTCTCCTCCTGAGTGCCCAGTACCTACTTGGCCATCGCCACTTGGCTGGAGGGCCTTCCATTCGCCCCTCTGCATCCACTCTCAGTCTCTCTCCACCTGGCCAGACCTGTGTGCACAGCACCAATGGTGGTGACTCTGAGTTCAGCAGCAGCCAAGCACACACGAGAGCAAAGAGGAGGAGGGGAAGGCAGGTATTTATTCCAAGGCCCCCTGGAAGGGTCCTGTGGGTTCCTCACCGCTTGATGACCTTGAAATTCTCAGCAACTGGCAGATGGCCTTCTGCAGACAGCTTTGACTTTAGGTTCCGGTAACTGCTCCTTCCCTTCACCCCCTGACTCAGGTAACAGGATCCTGCATTTCCTCTCCAGGTGCTACACTTCCTTGTGGTTTCCCTACATAGTCCATACCTGATGCTACTTTTATGAAACTTCTTTGCAAGTCTTAACTGATTTGAATGTACCAATTATTTTTGCTCAAATGTTGATTGCGCTGGCTAAAGGAATCTCAGATTGAAGCAAATTCAAGCTAAGTCTTCGATTCCCTCCCCCATTCTCTAATCTAATCCTGCTCCTTCCCCAATCATACTCATTTCAGTGAAAATCCATGTAGCTGCTGAAGCTGAAGTCATTGCCAGCAAGTGTTCCTGATTCTCCCTTGAATCTGACCGTTTTTCACTACCTCCACTGTTACCAGCCTGCTCTCCACACCACTGTCCTCTCACCTGGAATAGTTCCCTGATTGGCTTCCTATCTCATTCTGCTCCTCTGCCATCCATCTGCACATGGCAGCCAGAATGATCCTTTTTACTGTAAATCAGATCACAGTATTTTTTAAAACCCTCCAATAGCACCTCAGGGCACTTTAAACCCTTTAATTTCTTTTTGTCACCTACAGGTTGGCTCTTACTGCTTCCACAAGTTTGTCTTGCATTGCTAAAACATGGCTGGTTTCTTCTGATCTTCCACGGTCATCCCATATGTCTCCTATTTACAGATACTTTCTCTAACCACCCAATCTAAAGCATCTCACACTGACTCTAGCATGTTGTTCTGTTTTAACTTTCTTATACTTATTTTCCTCTGAAGTAATCTTTTTTATGTATGTCTCTGGATTGATTCCCCAACAGCAGGATAGGTTTTGTGAGAACAGAGACTTTATGTACTTTGTTCACCACACCATCCTGATCACCTACAACAGTGCTGGAATATAGTTGATGCTCAGTAAGTATTTATAGAATAAATATATGAACAGCTCTCTTCTTCTCCAGAAATTTTAGGCTCACCTAGGCCCTGTCAACTACAGAGGTACCAAGCTTGAGCTAATAATGGTGGCAAAATAGAAAAGGAAAGATGAGAAGCAGTAAGTTTAGTGTACTGGAAAGAAAGCTCTGGCGTCTAGATACTTGGTTATAGACAAGTTATTTAACCTCTCTGTGGCCTTGGCTATAATAGGAGCTGGCCTGTGATGAGTTCCAAGGTCTCTTCTAAAATGCTGAATTCTGTGCTTGTTGACATGCTCACACTAGGATTAACACATACCTTTTATTTTCAAAGAGAACCATCCTGCTCACTTTGTTGTTAGAGCATCAAGAATGGCACCTCATCTTTCTAATGTCATCATCAAAAACAAACATATAGGAAGTACAATCCCCTGGGCTGAAGAGTTTTCTACACCAGAGCGTAGCTTATTTACAAAGCACTTTTAGTGCATGATTTCAGTGAATCCCCAGAACTGTTGAAGTGAAGCAGGAATACCAGGTATGGTCTTTCTAATATGGAAAGGAGGTGTCCCCAAGGCCATTCTGCTGGTTTTGCACAGTGCCAGGACTGCAATGCAGCCCTCTGCCCTGCTCAGCTGGTGCCATGTCCACTGCACTAAGTTGCCTGATGGTTAGACTCAACTCTTTGTACCAGTGGTAATTTATCAGCAGACTCTTTGTAACCAGTAGCACCAGAAATGTCCAAGGCCTTTCTCTAATAACATCAGATTGTCTCATGCCCAGGTAAGAGATGTGAGCTCTGTGATGATGGCTACTTTGGAGACCCTCTGGGCAGAAATGGCCCAGTGAGGCTGTGCCGCCTGTGCCAGTGCAATGGCAACATCGACCCCAATGCCGTGGGAAATTGCAACCGCTTGACAGGAGAATGCCTGAAGTGCATCTATAACACTGCTGGCTTCTATTGTGACCGATGCAAAGATGGATTTTTTGGAAATCCCCTGGCTCTCAATCCAGCTGACAAATGCAAAGGTAATCAGCCACAGGCCAGATTCTGTCATCACTGTACTCTTTTGTTTTGCAAATTCGTGGCATCCTGTTTTGAAGGCTTTACAGTTAATTTAGTCAAATGCAAGGCCATTTTATAGACAGCTAGCACAAACCACTTATTTAATGTTTTCTAGCAGACACATTAAAATAGAAAAGCAAGAGAAATTAAATTTACTAATGTATTTTATTTAACCTAATACAGCTTACTACTTTCATTTCAACAATTACCTATAAAAATTATTGCAATATATGTTTTTATTTCCTCACATCAGTTCTTCAAAGTTTTTATAGCACATCTCAGTCCAAACCAGCCACATTTCAGGTGCCCTGTATCCACAGGGACTGGTGCCCTCTGTCTGTATTGGACAACACAAGTCTCAAGAGCCAATTGGTAGTGTGGATAGTTAATTATTTCTCTCAGGTGATGTGCATCTTTTACTATCTCTGTCTTGCTGCCTTAGCCTGCAGCTGCAACCCTTATGGGACCGTAAGGCAGCAGAGTGGCTGTAACCCCGTGACCGGGCAGTGTGAATGTCAACCTCACGTGAGTGGCCGGGACTGTGGGGCCTGTGACCCTGGCTACTACAACCTGCAGAGCGGGCAAGGCTGCGAGAGGTAAGATACCTGATTGTCTTTGGTGGAAGTATGTGTGGAGGGTGGTTAATGTAATAGATGAATTTTTTATGGGTTATATGCTTAAATAGTTGGCTTGCCTCTGTTCAGGAGTGATTTGAGTACTTAATACCAGTGAGGCACCCCAACAGGAGTAATGGGATGTTGTACTCGAGCTAATGGCAGAAAATATCGAGTGCGTGGTTCTAGCTGAGTCAGAATCACCAGGGCAACTTCAAAAACAGAAAACAGGGTCCTCTCTGAGATGCTTAGAGTCTGACCCTAGGGTTGCATTCTGGGGATTCCATGTTGGAGAGCCACCTGCAGTGGTTGAGTCTTGGAATAATAGTGTGTGTGGTGTTACATTAGAAAAGGAAGTCCTGGATAAAACGTGAAAATTACTTGAGCCTCAGTGGCTTAACAACCAAACAACATTTGGTTTTCTAATACAAAATACATCACTCCTATGTGGGAAAGGAAAAAAATGGTTTGCCTCAGGAGTGTTTTTCTAACCTGGGAAATGTCATGTGTTCTGTTTTCAGGTGTGACTGCCACGCTTTGGGTTCCACCAATGGGCAGTGTGACATCCGCACTGGCCAGTGTGAGTGCCAGCCTGGCATCACGGGACAGCAGTGTGAGCGCTGTGAGGTCAACCACTTTGGGTTCGGACCTGAAGGCTGCAAACGTAAGGGGCGATGGTGGCATAGAACCCTAAGTCTCCCCTAATTCTGGTAGGAACCATAATCCAGAAAGGACTTGGACAGACTCAGTCCAGTCACCTGGCTCACAGTCAGGGTGATCCCTAAGTCCTCATAGATGCTTTGTTTGATGCCAAAGTATTATGCTTTTCTAGAATTCTGGGGACTGAGAGCTGCTCTGGTTTCTTTACAACCTAGTTTATGTCATTTGTGGTGTTTCTGATTCTTCCTTTTTCTGGTCTTCCATTTTTCCAAAGAAAGAAAAGTCTCCTTTTGATTTTTGAATTCTGCCCCTGTGCTTGAGGAGACCCTTTTATTGATCGCATTCTTAGGGCTGATAAAGAAGCTGTGAGACTCTGATGGCAATGAGCTGGTTGACTCACTGGCTGCAGTTGCTTCCTACCCTGGGGGCCCTTTTGGTGTGGCCATGTATAAACATCTGCTTCTTCTTGGCATAAACACTTGCCTGGAATTAGGCTTAGAACTGTTTGGGCTTTTGCTTTCTGAATTCCTTCATTTTTTCCTGTGGAATGTAGCATACTGCCTTTTACTCAATTCAGAGAGCAAAGTGAGTAAACACACTATCAGCTAATGCAAAATAAGCATGAGCACTGGGTCTTCTAGTTTTAGTGGGAAAAATATTAAAACAATGGTGAGATGAAGAGATGAATTTGTAAAGTGCACAAAAGGACACTAATTTGTTTAATAGGCTGGTTTCTCTAATTATTAAGTAATCTGAAAGGATACACTTTTTTTTCTTTTAAATATTTATTTATACAAGAACTGGGGTACAGGCCAGATGTGTGGGAGGGTGAGAGGATTCACCAGAGACAGAGCGGGGAGCAGAACAGGCAGATGAAACGAAAGCACTGCTGAGGGGAGCAGCGGGTGAGACAGGAGAGGTCTGTCTCGCCATATGGGATTCTCCCTGGCTGGCCGGCGGAGTCTGCGGGTTAGCTTCACAGTCCTACGCTGAACCCACTGCGCCACCGGGGAGGCCCCAATATTCAGCAAATTTATTATTTTTTTTTAATGTTTTCTTTTATATGATTCTTACATCATTTTTCATCTTTGCACAATGTATGCATTTTCATTGTGGTTATATTCCCCATACAATTGCACGGATACTTTTTACTCGAAACTGACTGGTGTTTTAAAATTTTCTGTCTTTGCTCCCAGGCACTGCTAATCATTTAAATTCCCATAAAAAATCCTGTTTCTCAAGAAATGTCTGCTGAATGACAGTACAGTCAGTTGTCAATGTCAGTCTGCTCTAAAAGACTTCCTTCTTTGCCTTGTTGTGTCCTTTTTCCCCTCTGTTCTGCAGCCTGTGACTGTCACCCTGAGGGGTCTCTTTCGCTCCAGTGCAAGGATGATGGTCGTTGTGAATGCAAAGAAGGCTTTGTGGGAAATCGCTGTGACCAGTGTGAAGAGAACTATTTCTACAATCGGTCTTGGCCTGGATGCCAGGAATGTCCAGCCTGTTACCGACTGGTAAAGGACAAGGTAAGCTGTTCATAGTGCATTCATTCATTCATTAGCCATCAAATGGGAACTTCCTGCACATTAACTTCTGGACAAAAAATGGTAAAGAAGGTAGACACGGTCCCTGTTCTCAAAGGCTTATGTTCCGGTTGAAAGACAGTAAGAATTAAGTAAGGAAATCATTGCCAGAAAGAATACAGACAGAGAATAGAACTACTTTCTATTATGGCTCTAAGGAAATGAGATGAGATCATAAGGATAAGCAGGGGCAAGCCCCTGAGAAGGGGATGGATGGAAGGCTCTTCCTGCACAGGGAATGTGGGGTACAAAGGCTTTGGAATTGGGGGGTGTTTGGAGCCTGCTAATTAAGTGGGGGAGTGGTTCATGATAAGACTGGAGAAGTTGATGGAGACAGCTGTGTCATACCTTGTTGAACATAGTAAGAAATACAGGTTTTATTCCAAGTCCACTGGAATTGCACCAAAGAGTTTTAAGCTAGGGGATCCTATTTGTGTTTGTAAGAAGAACATTGTGACTACTATGGAAAGAATGATAGTTAGGATTGGGGTGGGGGAGCTATGGTGGAATTGCTGGATAAATGTGATGTGTGTGTGGGTACAGGGCATTAAAGGGGCAAGGAAAGGGAAAGAGAAGAATCAAGGATGGATATTGGGATTTTTACTCTAGGCAGCTGAAGGCATTATTTATTGAGATGGATGTGACTCAGAAAGAATAGAGTTAAGAGAAAAGAGTATAATTTTGGATGCTGTTGAGATGCCTATCAGAGAGCTCAGTGGAGGTGTCAACAAGTAATCTGAAACACAAGGGAGCAGTCAGAACTGAGAAGTTGTCAGCATGTGTTGTTTAAAGTTAAAGGAATGAGTCTGACATTTTTTCTTTGGAAGTCAAAGAAATAAAGAAAATTTACCCAGTACCTGCTTACCAGCAAACATGCAGGGAGTGTGTAGACCTGGGTATTTACAGGTGTGGCTGATCTTCCAGCAGGAGGGACAGTGCTTCAGGAACACTCGTATTCCTACTTTCCCTTTTCTTCCTTTATTATGTTTAGGTTGCTGATCATCGAGCGAAACTCCAGGAATTAGAGAATCTCATAGCAAACCTTGGAACTGGGGATGAGGCGGTGACGGATCAAGCCTTTGAGGATAGACTCAAACAAGCAGAGAGAGAGGCTATGAACCTCCTTCTTGAGGCCCAGGATGTCAAAGGTAAGTTTTAAGATAAAATAAACATGAAGTTATTCTCCAGCACATTGAAGCTATTACAGTATTTTTATAAATTTCAAGCATTTTATCATTCTGTTCCATTACAACATATTTTATTTTATTTTACTTCTGCATGTTATCTTTTTTATTTATATATATTTTACATCATTGTTCATTTTTAAACAACATTTGCTTCCTCCCACCCTGAGATATAGTCCCCACAGAATTTCCTTCACCAGTTCACCCGTGCACCATCACCTCAGTCTCCTGTGCTCCTCCGTCCCTCTCTCTGATCCCTCTCCCTCCTCCCCTGCAGTATGTCTCTGATTTATAATTGTCCGTTTTTGCTTTGTTGTGTTTTGTGCTGTTATTATTGTTTTACACTGATGTCTTACTTGGTTCCCCTATATTCCTCCTGTAAGTGAAACCATCCAATATTTTTTTTCCTTCTAGCTTATTTCACTGAGCATAATTCCTTTTAGCTCCATCCACGTTGCTGCAAATGGCATGAGTTTATCTTGTTTGATGGCTGAATAGTATTCCATTGTGTGTGTGTGTGTGTGTGTATATATATATATATATATATATATATATATACACACACACACCCCACATCTTCTTGATCCAGTCATCTATTTTTGGGCATTTGGGTTGTTTCCAGGTTTTACCTATTTTAAATAGTGCTGCAGTAAAATGGGGGTACAGGTGGTCTTTAAATCAGTGTTTTTGTGTCCTTTGGGTAGATCCCTAGGAGTGGGATTGCTGGGTCATATGGTAGCTCCATTTTTAGTAGACTGAGGAACCTCCACACAGCTTTCCTTAGTGGTTGGACCAGTTTACACACCCATCAGCAATGTAGGAGAGTTCCTTTTTCACCACATCCTCGCCAACATTTGTTGTTGCTAGTTTTTTTGATATGTGCCATTCTTACTGGTATAAGGTGGTATCTCATTGTAGTTTTGATTTGCATTTCCCTGATTATAAGGATTGCATTACAATGTATTTTTAAATAGTTTTAAAAAAATCATTGCAGGTATACATTGCTAGTATGCATTACTTTAAGAAGAAAACTTGACCTTCGATTTTTTTTTATCATTCTAGTGAGTATTTATTTTATGCCCTGATTTATTTCTTTGAAAAGGATTTTATAGGGAAAAATTGTGATCTTCAATTATGAATTGAACAGCTAGCTACCAAATAATGTAACACTTAGTATTATGAAAGTAGAGATTATGAAATTACCTAGTTAATAAGCACATATGGTGGTAATGTTATATGAAGGCATACATTTTATATATTATATGCATAATGTCCTTTGCAATTCAATAGTTCAGTCGTCTGTACATTATCTGATGAGATGGGATAATAAGCAGAGAAGAGGTTGACTTAAGATTTAGAAAACAGTTTGTTTATGTTAAAATGCCTTCTTGAAGTCAAGAAAATGAAGGACAGATAACAGCTGGTTTCACTTATTTGTGGAATATAAATAACCAGAAACCATATACTAGCAAAAATGTAGCAAAAATAATCTTAGACAGTGAAAAATATACTGGTTACCGGGGAAACAGTGCAGGGAAGAGGGGCTATAGGAAGGAAGGGGACAGAACATTGGCACAGGAGGTGAGTGCAGGGTGAGTGCAACACATGCCCATGTGGAGGAGGAAAAAGGTAACCCCAGAGTCATACAGATGTGTAACTGGCTGACACATTTAATTAAATAAGAAATAAAATAAGTACCTTATTGACTTTAAAAGAAAGCTTGTTTTTAAAACTTTGAAAGTCAGTTATTTTAAATCATTTGCTTTTTATGTGAGCACTTTAAAATTTTGTTTTCACTTCTTAGTCTCTGGATAAAGATTTTTTCTAAAACTTGCACAGGTTCTTTTGTACACTTACTGCTTACCTGTAGTAACACCAACAGTGGAAAGATGAGTAAGGTACTGCACCTTCATCGAGGTGTCACCATCTCGCTGGCGTCACTTCTGCTTGGGGCTGTCCCATGGTTGAAGCCCTGGTGTTTTTGGCTACTCACAGTAAACACACTGGGACTGTGGTGATCAACTTCAGTTTTCTTTTTTGCATTATTGAATTAGAATTGACATATAGCACAGATGTATAAGCTTTAGTGTACAGTGTGACTCAGCATACACATATTGTGAAATGATTATCGATTATTGATTTGTGAATCTGTATCCATTTAGATTGTTTCAAAATACAGATCAACAAAAACTAAGTGGATTTGCTGATTTCTTGATGTAAATATCCCTAATGTACAGAATTTTGATCTTATAAAGCTACTGAACTGGAGAAGGGATTCATTGGTTGCATTTGGTTTGGGATAGTTTTTTTTTTTTTTCATGTGAAAATCCAGAAATTGGTCAATGAGGCAAATATTTAGAAATAATAAATAAAACCGCAGGTCAATAGCTTGTGTAAACTTTAGGTGTTCTTTATTTTTTGTTTTGGTGGTGGCTGTTACATCTTAAGACCTTAAGACATCTTAAGTCTTTAGCATAGATGAAGAAGAATTTAAATGTTTCATAATCTACAAAACAGTAGTGGTTTTTTTGAGGATGTTCACTTTTCAGCAGTAGTGTCTGACACATTATTTCATTAATGTATCATCTTAAAACAACAAATTCACACCTACTGTTAACATTGATGACTTGCATGTGGGGTTTATTCTTAAGTACCAGTTATTCTGCCTGAGAGGTGGGGTGTGGCACACAGTTCTGGGCCAGCACCGTCAGCATGTGGGAGGGAGACCTGCCTGCACTACCGTCAGCCTAAGCACCAGGCATCTCCATGCAGCCCCGACAGCATCTGTCTCCCCTTGGACCACAATGTCTACCTACTTTCCTCTGCCCAAGCAGGTGATTCTGTTGGACAGAAGCTGTGATAGGAGCCATGGCCATCATACCTCCCCTTGAGCCATCTGACAGTGAGGAGCATAGTGGGCTGCTGCTACTGATATCTTTGGAGTATTATATAATGAGGCCAGGGTTCCATCCACGTCCACTTAGACCTGCTTCCTGGAGTTCCTGGCTGACATTTCCTCCTTAGGCTCAGACTAGCCATGAATAAAAATATCTTCATAATGATTGATCTTTTAAAACTATCCCTAAGTATTCATTTGTAGCTTAAACTTGTTCTGCAGATTCAAAAGGAGAATATAAGGTACAGTTAAGTCTTGGAATTAGACACTTGGAATTGTAAGGCATCTGATTTTGTAAAATTATCTATTCTCTTTTATTGGATAATAAGTTTTGTATTCTCCTTTTACATATTATTGTTCTTCTAAAGAACTGGCCAGAGGAACTATATCTCCTATTTTTGAGGGTGTAAAGGGAAGGGACCTATGTAACCTTGTGACTGAAATGCATCCGCAATCTTTAGATTATTAAAGGATCTGCTTAGGGCCACTGCGTATAGTGAGGCAGCAGTTGTGTTGTACACCAGCTTTGCGCATGCATTTGGTAGCACTGCTTACCAGTTGCTATTTTCCAAACCTGTATTCAACTTTATTGGTCTTAACTGAGACCTCTCGTCTTTAACCTTGCTTGAAAAAAATGACATGGATATGCCAAGGGTAGGGAGTGATGGCAAGCATCTCTTTAGTTTAAAATATAAAATGGAATTTTAATTTGTCATATTTCATCTACTGCTTTAGAAACTTTTTTCCTAGTTTAGAAAAAGTGTCATAGTGTAGAATATGTCAGGTCTGGCTGTGCCTTTAACAACATTGATTTTTATAAATAAATCTGTCATGTGCTAGGATGTTTAAATCAGTCTTCATCAAACATTTCTGGGCTGTCTTCGCTTTGTCGATCACTGTATAAGACTGAGGCTGTAGTGAGGGTAAGAAAGAGGGTCAGACAGCGCAAGAGTTGGAGACAGTGTGAGAAGTATAACCGTGGTGGTACTGCTGGGCACAGGAAAGATTGACCAGCACTCCCAGTGGGCGCAGGGACAGTAGTCGGAGAGTTGCAGGGTTTGGAAGAGTCCAGATGAGCAGTGCCTCGGATTCCTTGTGAGGTGATATGTCCTCCTGTCAGACAACTTGTGAACTTTCTTCTGCATTGCCATTGCAGATGTGGACCAGAATTTGATGGATCGCCTCCAGAGAGTAAATAACACCCTTTCCAGCCAAATTAGCCGTTTACAGAATATCCGGAATACCGTTGAGGAGACTGGAAACTTGGCTGAACAAGCACGTTCCCGGGTAGAGAGCACAGAGCAGTTGATTGAAATCGCATCCAGAGAACTTGAAAAAGCAAAGATGGCCGTTGCCAACGTGGTGAGTGTGTGTGATGATCTGAGGTGGACACAAGGACCCCTGGTAATCTGCAGCAACTCTGGCAGTGGAGCGCTTCTTTAATTAACTTTAACTTGCATCTTTTTATTTGTCTCTCAGCATGGAGTGGGAGAGCGTTATTGCTCATAGCTGTCATGAAATAGTTTCATGAACTAGATAGAAACCCAAAGACATCTACTGATACATCAGGGTCCTTTTTCTGGCTTTGTTCCTTCTGTGGCACTAGGCAGTTTAAACTTCCTTTATCCTTCTCTAACATTAACAGGCATTCTTTTTGCCAAATAATAAAAATTTAACTTTGACACTTGCTTTATTAAATGTAGATTATTCAGTCTTTTGAGATAAATCTTTGTTTATTTCCTCTTCAGTCAATTATTCAGCCAGAGTCTACAGGAGACCCAAACAACATGACTCTTTTGGCAGAAGAAGCGCGAAGGCTGGCTGAACGGTAAATGGTTAAGTAATGGCTTCAGGGTGCTACACCCACAAACCCTTCCCTCATAGCCACTTTTGCAGAGTTTGCTCTCTTTTCTGAAATGTTACCAGATACATATGCACTTTTCTTCTCTTTATTTTGAAATGTGAATATGTACACTGCATATGAAAATACATTATTAGATATGATCCTTTTGTTGTAATCCTCATTGTTTTTGGAAAAACAATAATATATATCAAATGAAATAAATAATCCCCAAAGTGAAAAAAATACAATGATTTGGAGGAAAATTATACTTGCAAATTTTAAAGAAAACCATAATATTTTTAGATTTTTAATTTTGAAATCTTAAAGTTAGTAGATAACTAAAGATGCTCACTAACATTTAGCTGTTAATTTTTTTAACTATTAAATGGATTTTTACCCAAAGTGATTAATTTTCAAAGAAAAAATATGTTCATGACTTTTCTGACAACCCAATATATCAAACAATATAAACAAATATAAAGTGAACCCCAATAAGTTTTAAGTTTTATACCATTAGTTTTCTTGAAAAATAACGTTTTCTCAGATTGCAGAATGCTATTTATAATTATACTCAGCCCTGCTAAATGATTGCAAAATTCTAAATTTATTAGGTTTTACGTATTTCTAGAGCGCTGGCCACATTAGAATGTGTGTGTGTGTGTGTGTGTGTACACAATAAACATTACTTAAATTTTATTTCTCTCTCTATGAGATGGTTCTGTTTCATGGTTTCTTTTCTCTCTTATGTTACACAGCCATAAGCAAGAAGCTGATGATATTGTACGAGTTGCAAAGACTGCCAATGATACATCAACTGAAGCATATAATCTGCTTTTGAAGACACTGGCAGGAGAAAATCAAACAGCATTGGAGATTGAAGAGCTTAATAGAAAGTGAGTGTAATTTAACAGGGCTCATAGCCCTTTAGCTGTTCTCGTGAGTAGCACCAGTTAAGTGAAAAATTAAATGCGGGTGGATACAGGGGAAGCATTTATGCAAGATTTCTTTTGTTTAATCCCACTTTTGAAATGGGGCAGGAAATAGAGCAGGGGGTGCAGAATTATAGAGGCTTTATTTTATTTAATTATTACAACTGCAGAGGGTGGTAATAAATGACTAGCCAGGATACTTAACGTTCTGCCTAACTGAAAACTACCATAAAGTAAATCGAGAAAACGTTGTTTAGTATTGTGAAAGTGTCCAAATTAGAAATTAGATGGTAAAACATACATTATAAGTAGAAGCAATAAGATGAAATATAAATTTAAGCTATCTTGATAAAATAGCATTTTAGTATAGCAATTTCTTTGACGTTTTTGAACTAGTGTCAGTGATTTAAATGAAAATGAATCTGATTAACAGTAAGATGCTAATAGTAGCTGAGGTTTTTCATTAAGTCACGTCTTTGGTTTCGTAGGTATGAGCAAGCAAAGAACATCTCACAAGACCTGGAGAAGCAAGCTGCCCGAATCCATGAGGAAGCCAAGAAGGCTGGTGACAAAGCTGTGGAGATCTATGCCAGTGTGGCCCAGCTCACCCCTGTGGACTCAGAAGCTCTGGAGGTATGGGGATGACAGCCAGTATACTCCAAACTCTACTTGTCATTACCCATCCTCAGCCTTTACTCTCACCCCCTTCTACACACACACACACACACACACACACGCCATCCTGACAGCCCTGAGCTATCATAGTCATGCATCTCTCCTGTCTTCCAAGTGACTCACTTATAAACTAAGTTCATAGAACTTAGTCAAGAATCTTGTGATTATAAATATTAAATAGCAAAGACTACTTTGTGATATGAGTAAAATCACTCCAAATCTTTAATATAAATCCAAATCAATACATTTGGATTAATTAAAGGCAGAGTATGCCTAGACTGTTACTCTCAGGCACTCTCTGGGAGAGTGAGAGAGAAATAAAAGAGGATGGGTTTATATAGATCTTAGGCATATAGCAGGGGTGGGGAGGAGAGGTGAAAACAGGACAGGGGAGAGCACAAGGGACAGTGGTGTTGGTTCATGGGTGATGTGGTGGTGGGAGAACTGTGGGGAGGGGAGTAATCAAATATTGTACAAAAATGAACAATGATGTAAGAAAATTTAAAAACTAAAAGGATGGTTTAGATGAGATGACTTCCAGAATGCTCTAAGGCAGGTTGAAATATTGATGTTGGTAGTGTTTTATTTTATCTGTACTCTTAATTGTGAATCCTCACATTGGACTTTGTAAAAATGTCATTTTTACATTAAACTTGAAATTTTCTAAGTTACCCTTCTTACATCTAAGGCATTGACTTGGTTTTTAATCATAAAGGTTTAGGTTTTTTCAGACCTAAATATGATTCTGTGTTTATTAAATAGACAAAACTAACATGTGCTCATTGAAATCAGACCAGGGGCAGGTGCATTGTCAGAAAAGTAGGTGTGGAAATTGACTGGAGAGTGATACAAGGAAACTTGCTTGGTGGAAATATTTTGTGGCTTGATTGGGATGTTAGTTGTTATGCAGATAAATGTGTTTGTCCAAACTCATCAAGCCCAGCACTGTGTATATACCACTTTGTATAAATTATATCTTGATTTTTTTAAAGTTCCATAAGGTCTTGATCTGTGCTGATCTTTTATAAATATGTACTGAGTACTAAATGTTACAGAATTGCTAAGGCTACCTCTCATCAATTTGTTTTGTCTAAAGTGTAATGACCATGCTTAATTTTCACAGAATGAAGCCAATAAAATAAAGAAGGAAGCTGAGGATCTGGACCGACTCATTGAGCAGAAGTTGAAAGATTATGAGGACCTCAGAGAGGACATGAGAGGAAAGGAACTGGAAGTAAAGAACCTTCTGGAGAAAGGAAAGACGGAACAACAGGTTGGCTCGACTTGCAGGCAGCTCCATTTTTTGAGGCAGAATTTGAGGGAGTCCCAAGTGTAAGCTGTATCTGTCACATTCCCACCCCCACAGAGGCCACAGAACACTAAGGATTCCCGGGAGTGCCCTCTGCCGGGTGCCCAGGCCAGCCTGCGGGGTGCTGGCACATTTCGGGGTGGGAGTGGAGGCGCCTGATCTCTGAGGTGAGAGAAGGGCCTTACAGAGGGCTTGCACTCTAACCCCCCATTTATTTTGCAGACTGCAGACCAACTTCTAGCACGAGCTGATGCCGCCAAAGCTCTTGCTGAAGAAGCTGCTAAAAAGGGACGAAATACCTTACAGGAAGCTAATGACATTCTCAACAACCTGAAAGGTAGGAAAGGTTTAAATCAAGTCAAATACCAGGGTAAATAATTTGTACACTTCCTCCACTAGGGTGAGTCCTTTTTTTTTTTTTTTTTTCTTTTTTTTTTTTTTTTTAAATTTTTACCATGAGACTCTTTGAACAGACACACTGTGAAAGAAAATAGTGTAATAAATCCTATATAGCTGCATGCTTTTTTTACATTGAAGTATTTCAAAGAAAAATCCCAGAGCTCATGTCATTTTACCCCTACATAATTTAGTATGAAAATAAAAACAAGGAAATTTTCTCATGTTAGGATGACTCATGTAGTCAAGATATGCCTGTTCGACTGATTTATGTGGATATGTAGAGATTGTTATCTTTCATTTTCTCTACCTTTAGACTCACTGCTGACAAAATAGTCACAGGCTCTATAAAAGCAGGAGCTTTCCTGGGTATGGTTGCAAGTAAGGGCTCAGATGTCGGGGGATTAGATTCCCGTCTCTCCTCCACCTCTTACTGTGAGTCCTTGGGCATATGATCTACCTCTTTAATCTTCAATTTTTTCACATATAAAAATGGTACGGTGTATGCATCACAGGCACATAAAGCTCCTCTCAGTACCATATTCAGTACTTTGCATAAGAATTAATTTTTCAAGGAAGAATTTGCTTTCTAGAAGCAAATATTCCTTCATAAGAATCTCCCATGGAGAGCCATGTACTTCTCTAAGATTTCACTTCATACCATATTCGGGTTTTTTTTCCCCCGACTTTTCATTGATCATAAAACAAAGGCCAACAGCAGCTCCCTGAAAGGTTCCCTTTTTGCTTATTGAGAGTTTATTTTTTTTTAATTTATTTTTAGTTATTTATGCATAGAAGAACTGTGGTACAGGCCAGAGGTGCAGGGGGTGAGAGGATTCACCAGAGACAGAGTGGGGAGCAGAACAGGTGGCTCTACTGAAATACACTGCTGAGGGGAGCAGCGGGCACAGGAGAGGTCTGCTGCACCACATAGTGTTAGCTCCCTGGCCGGGGATTGAATTCAGGCCATAGTGGTGATAGCGCTGAGACTTAACTCCTAGGCCTCCAGGGAGGCCCCCTTGTTGAGAGTTTAGCTCAAATATATTTTTTGGATTCGTTTTAGATTTTGATAGGAGAGTCAATGACAATAAGACGGCCGCAGAGGAGGCTCTAAAGAGAATCCCTGCCATCAACCAGACCATCATTGAAGCCAACGAAAAGACTAGGGAAGCTCAGCTGGCGCTGGGCAATGCTGCTGCTGATGCCACCGAGGCGAAAGACAAGGCCCACGAGGCTGAGAAGATTGCCAGCGCTGTCCAGAAGGTGAGTGCATCATGGTCTCCAAAACAATCTTTGCTCATAGTGATCGTTTTCCAGTAAGCATAGTTCTTTGACATGAACAGTTTGGTTTGTTTTTTTTCCAAATTGGTACATAATGCGAGTCAATGCAACTGCCAAGCCCCACCTTCAAGCATATTGCACAGCTAAGTGCGTCCTCCCACTTAGAATTTCTGTAACTGCTGGACTAGGATTCCTTCTACTCAAAGAATAATTTCTTCAGGCTGGCAGTTTCCTTCTTCAAAGTCAATGTGTTTGTTTTGTTTAAAGGAAAGATTGGAGCTGATTCTAAAGTTGTATGTTCGAGAATCACATTTTGCAGTTTCTTTCGAACAGTTGGGTTTTTGATTATATTGTATGAAAATACTCATGTCTCAGGATTAATGTTCTTTTGTATTATGATCACCTGCCAAATAGAACCTCCTAGCTTTGAATTTAAAATTTAATCCAAGTCAAAGAGTTTAACCAACATAATGTGATGATATGTACACACCATTTAAATGTTTGCCATTTGTTAGCTGAGTGACCTCAACTAAAAATGGCAATAGAAAAGGAAATTTTCAGTATTAAATAACAGGTTACAAATGGAAGTGCCTTATAAAATGCAGTTATGTTAGGTGGTAATACTACTTTTTATTATTGTTACTTGGAGCCCAAAAATAATAATATAAGTCAACATTGAGTATAAACTACTGCCCTGTTCTTTCATGATTGTATTTTTGAGCCATTTTATAGATTATGAAAGAAGTGGGAACATACTCAAGAGAAGGGATACTTTTTTTTTTTTTTTTTTAGCAGTGTTTTTTATTACCAATTGCTTGCTTTGTACCTAGAATGCTACCACCACCAAGGCAGAAGCTGAAAGGACTTTTGCAGAAGTTACAGACCTGGATAATGATGTGAACAATATGTTGAAACAACTACAAGAAGCAGAAAATGAGCTGAAGAGAAAGCAAGAGGATGCCGACCAGGACATGATGATGGCAGGGATGGTGAGCAGCTTGGCCTGTTTGCTTAGGGGCAGAGAGTAATGGGTGTTTAATAATAATCAGGATCTCCAACTTGTTGAGAAGAGTCTTTTTCATATTGACTTCTGTTTTTTATTTTGATTCCTGGTCAAGAATTGGATCTGTAACTTAACAGAGAAAACAAAGAATTTGGATTTTCTGCCAGGTTGTTGCACAACTGCCCTGTCCCAAAGCTACTCTCAGTTAAAAGCAAAAGTTAGTTTTAAATATCTGAGGTTTTAGGACACTCAAAAGCATGTATTTCTATTTTTGAATGGGTAATTCGTAAATGCTGTAAAAACAAGGAACAAAGAGGAATGCAATGAAAGTTAATTTCCTTCCCACTCTTGTTCTCCCTGCAACTTGCCTCCCTAGAGGTAAAGCCCAGTTTCTTGTGTAAAAGGCCATTTTTGAAGGTGCATTCACCACCCCAAAAATACACCAAGCTTACATCCAGTTTCATTTTCACCATTTCTGATGTGTAAACATAACCCCATTTGTAGCAAAATTGTGAATGCAAGGCCCAGCAAAGAACTGGGGTCCATTTTTCTGTTGTTCTGTCCTTGAAGGACATCCGTGGGGTCACAGTGGAAGTAATTCCTTTCCAAGTCAGTGTTCTCAGTCACAATAGATGTGAACTTTTTAAATTGTGCACTTGGAATGCAAGGAAGGGCCCCTTCTTCCACTCCCACTAAAAAGCAGGCCTTCACGGAGGATAATTTTCACTATGGGATGGAAAGGAGACATGCTAAGCCTATTAACCTATGTAAGAAGATCTAGGAGTGTGAAAATAGGAAGCATCCCTGGGCAAGTGTTCTTCTTTTTTTTTTTTTTAATTTTCATTGAGGTAACAATGGTTTACATCATTGTTTGTGTGTTAGAGATATAGGATCTCCCCCTTCAGGTGGTGTCACCACACCACACCACCACCAAACACCCATAGTCCTACATAGTCGTCCATTGTGCTTCCTTTCCTCTTTGTTCTTGACCTTCCCCCTCTTCCCCTTGGTAGCCTCAGTTCTGAAGTCAGCTTTCTAGGGCTAGTTCTTAGTTTGACTTTCCCTGATCCTTTGTTTGGTTTCTCTGAATTCCACATATGAGTGATACCATCCATTGTTTTTCTTTCTCTTTCTGACTTATTTCACTGAGCATAATCCCCTCTAACTCCATCCATGTTGCTGTCCATGGCAAGTGTTTATCTTTTTTGGTTGCTGAATAGAATTCCACTGTGCATATATATGTACACCACACCTTCCTGATCCACTCATTTGTATTGGAGCAGTTAGGTTGTTTCTAGAGCTTGACTATTGTAAATAGTGGCAAGCATATTATTTTATTATGCCTCTTTGTGAGTTTGGTTTTTTTTTTTTTTTTTTTTTTTTTTTTTTTTTTTTTTTTTGGTATTTCCTAATATTTTGCAGCAAAGAGATGGCAGAAGTGGAAATGCCAATATAGTAGCAGTGTGTATGTGTCATATGTGCTGGTCTCTGGATTTAATTTTTAATATGGTTATAGAAACACTAAATTTAGAACCTGTTACAAGGAAGGAAAAATGTATTTTGTGCCTGTGTGTATACTTCAAAAGAGAGTTTGGGTTTAATTCAGAAGGTAAAAAGAGGATCTAGCTCTTATTCTTGGTAAATAACTTCCAAGGAGTGCACAGTACCCTCGCAAACACTATCCATGTGTATGTCTGTCAACCATGAGAGGCCAGCATTGGACCTGTGTTGTTTGAGTCTGGAGAACCTACATTTTTGTCACTGAAAGAGTGAAGGCTTGGGCCTCCCTGGTGGTGCAGCGGTTGAGCGCTGGGTTCGAAGCTGCCCACAGCCTCTGCAGCACTGGTTCGATCCCCGGCCACCGGGTGAGGGTCCCACATGGCGCGCAGACCTCTCCTGCCGCCCGCTGCTCCCCTCAGCAGTGTACTTTGGTCTTTCTGCCTGCTCTGCTCTCCCCTCTGGCTCTGGTGCATTCTCTCACCCTTCTGTGCTTCTGACTGCACCCAGTGCTTGTATAAATAAATAAATAAATCTTTAAAAAAAAAAAAAAAAGAGTGAAGGCTTAAGAAAAAGACAGAAACAGCAGCTTAGATGTCGTGGTATTGTCTCGGCATCCAGAGCAGAGTCCTGGGGCGTCTCCCCTCCCTACTGCACACACAGAAAAAAGAGCCCATGAAGGCACCGTGTGAATGCCTGGGATTTCAGCAGAGATGAATTGCTTACTTCTGAAGTGTGTTTTTCCCTTTTGAAATTTTCTTTTTGAAATATTCACATTGTTTTGACCCCAAAGTTAGGTAAGACAATTCTGTGAGAAGGAACTCAAAGTCTGTTGTCTCTCTCCTATTTGTGAGAGCATCTGTTTTCTAATATTTAGATTCTTCCCCTTCCATTGCCATTTCCTGTGACTCATGCACAAGTGTATTTGTTCAGGTTTCATGGAAATTTCCCAAATATATTTATCTTTGGTTGATTTTTAAAATGTAAATTGAGTCACCGAGATTGTGTGTGCAGTTGCATGGGGAGAGGGAGTTAGAGAATAGCATCTCTCGATTATGAAATTTTCTGAGAATAGAACATTTCTAATATGTCCCTAGAGTGACCTGAAGATTGTGTTTTGATTCTAAAATGTAGTTTTCATACCCAACCTTAAAAAAATAATGTGTCTCTATTTGATAGCGCTGTATTCATAATAAACGCCACATAATCTTGTGTGAGAAAGGGAGTAGGAGGTAGTGTTGAAGCTTGATGGGAGACTGCCTATTCATGACATTACATGAATTAAAAATAGCACCGTCCTCAACATGAAAACATCGCAGAATCACACAAGCCAAGACCCTAAAAGCCCTGCAGTGAAAGATTGTAGTTTCATGAGTTAGGAAAGGAAAAAGTATCTGAAAATTGGCTCTTTGGAGGGAAAATACCTTCTTTCAAGAAGATGAAAACATACTGTCAGGACTTTGTATCATTTATCCTCTCCCCATACAGGCTTCCCAGGCTGCTCAGGAAGCCGAGATCAATGCCAGGAAGGCCAAAAACTCCGTCAACAGCCTCCTCCAGCAAATCAATGACCTCTTGGAGAAGCTGGGTAAGTGGCCATGGAACCGTGCTAGGCAGCCTCTGACTCTTGGGATCTGATGTATTTAAAGCACTTAAGATAGTGTGAATATGGAGTGAGCTGAGTCATGATGGTAGGTTGTAATAATTTAGGAAATACTTACCGGGTCCTTCCATGGAATCCTGCCTTAACATCTGACCATATTCAAGAACTTTCATAAAATTTTGAAGCTGTGCTGCCAGCAAGGCTGGCTCATTTATGTCAAGGTTTATGGTATAATTGAACAGAGGTTATTCTTAGCTCATGCTGCTCTGCTGCTGCGGAGTGTCTTGAAAGAATTTAAAGTGAAGGATTTCGTGATAGCAGAACACTTGAAACTGATCACAACTTCACTGTTTGAAACTCTCTTCTTTTGGTCTGATTAGGTGACAGCTTTTAGCCACAAGAGGGAAAGGCTCGATTTTAAAAAAATCAAGGAAATATAAGAATATTGAAATGCTCATTTAATCCAGTTTAGTAGGGAGCATTCTTATAAATTGATGATAATCTAGCCAGTACAACTTTGTAGCAAGGCATCAAATTTTAATTTCCTAGTCTTTAAAATTTGGTGTTTTGTGTGTGTACAGATGGGGGAAAGGGGTGGGTATATATATTTTTTTCATCTGTCTCAAATGTCATGAAAAATAAGTTATGTGCAGCAGATGGATTTTCAGCTGAAAGTAAGTTAAAAGAGTTAGCTTTTGTGTCAGAGTCTTTGCTTTGTTGCCTTGTAAACTGTACTAAATTTGGCCAGTTGTTTAACATCTGAGTAGCACTGGTATAAAAGTCATCTTATGAGAATTTAATCAAATACAGCATGCATAAAGTACTGGTTGTGGTACACTGTCTGCTTTTATTTATTTTAGAGTCAGGTCCTCTCAAAAGAACCTCTTTTTTTTTCTAATTTTTAATTGAAGCTTTATTGAAATTATTTCAGCATTCCAGGCTTGGCAATCTCCCAATAGTATTTAACTCCTGGAAGCAGGAAGTGATCCCCAAATCACCCCAGCATCCCTGAAGTCTAAGAGTTGAGGGCTTTCATTTTAGCTTAGAGATCTTTATGTTTATTAGATGGCACTAAAATGACACACAGATTACATTTATAAGTATGAAAAGGGTATGAAATTCTTCCAGATGACCTTCAAAACCTCAAGTGAGGCTTAGGGTCTAGTACCTGGTGATGGTATTTTTGGAAAACATTAAAAAAAAAAAACATTTTCCCTAAAAAAATCATCCAGACCAATAGCCATTGTAACCTCTGACCCATGCCTGCTGGGTGAGGTCTGTGTGTCCTTGCTTTGTGCTGTTTATGCTCTTGTTGGACATCAACAGTCTGCAGGTCACATCTGGAGGCCCTGCCCTTGTGCAGTGGCAGCTGCTGGACTTGGAGGCTGGTGGATGTCCCGTTGGGAGATGTCGTAATCCCTACTGAATGAATCTGTTCTCCTTTGTGTACTTCTGACTCTACAGGGCAGCTGGACACAGTGGACCTGAACAAGCTAAATGAGATCGAGGGGACCCTGAACAGAGCCAAAGATGAAATGAAAGTCAGTGATCTAGACAGAAAAGTGTCTGACCTGGAGAATGAAGCCAAGAAGCAGGAGGCTGCCATCATGGACTATAACCGAGACATTGAGGAGATTAGGAAGGACATTAAGAACTTGGAAGACATCAAGAAGACCTTACCATCTGGCTGCTTCAACACCCCGTCCATCGAGAAGCCCTAGCATCTCCCCTTAGGGCTGGAAGACAGCATCCCCCGACGGGGAGCCGGTGTGAGGACATGCAGTGCCTTCACACAAAGATTACATTTTTCAGACCCCCACTTCTCTGCTGCTCTCCATCACTGTCTTTTTGAACCAGGAAAAGTCACAAAGTTTAAAGAGAAGCAATTAAACATCATGAATCAGGAACAAAGGGTTTTATCTAGTAAAGTCTCTTTCCACTCTCATTGCTCCCTTGCTGACACTCTACCCACTGAGGTGTGTGAGGACGTGGCCCCTCTGTTACTGTCTGGTGGCGTAAATGCTTCGTGGGAACCATGCTGTGCCAGGGCTGAGCTCATTGTCCTCCCTTCTCCTTGACACCCGACAGAACCTCCTCAGTCTCAATACTCTTGTTTCTATGAAGGAAAAATCTGGCTACTAGTAGTAGCGCTGTGATGGCCAGTATGTCTAGTCCACAGAGAAAACACACCTGCTCCTCCTGCCCCTCCTTTTAAGCAAAAGGAAATCAACATCCTGTACCAAAGTATTGGTCAGTGGGTCAAGAGCCACCACAGTTGTAGCTCTCCCGAGCATAGGACCCCAGCTGTCCCCCGGGGAGGACGCCATTATTCCGATGGTCTCCGGGAGAGCATGGGAACACAGAACGTGCTGACCTGTTCTCACGTGTTAACCATTGACTAGGAAGATATGCTTTTTTCAGACCTTGGGAAGCTGATCCTTTAAATCCACATGGGCAGCTTGCACACACAGATAGACATCTTTTGATTTCCTTATGAATACAGGGATATGATAACCACTAACTTTTTTTTTTTTGCAATATCATCTAATTTTTAGGGCTTTTTTAGTATGTTAGTCTTAGAACTAGAGCTATCTGGCAGAGAACAGTTGGTCCCTGAGATCTTGACAAACACAACAAAAGAAGTCTTTTCTAGCAAAGGGATGAAACTTAGATACAACTTATATTGTAGGTGCCCAGACCTGTTTTTCTTCCTTTGGGGAGAGATGAAACATTTCACCCTTAACCTAATTTTCTTCTGATGGTCCCAGCTTCTAGAAGCCCTCAAAACACGTTGTTTGCCAAATCCTGGTGGCAAATACTTGCACTCAGTATTTCACACAGCTGCCTAAACCATCTAGTTCCTGTACTTTGTGATTTAAACCCACTCCTACCCTTCCCTCTGAGAGCAGAGGGAAGACCCTGACATGGGATTTCCTAGTGGGCTTCTCCACTTCTGATCCTCAGCTCTGTGGTCTTTTAGGATCACAGTGTGACAATTCCCTGCTACACAACCCCTCCTCCTACCCACCTGCCTTGAGATTCACATATAGCCTTTAACACCATGCAACTTTGTACTTTGCATAGCCGGGGGGGAAAGAAACTATTATCTGACACACTGGTGCTATTAATTATTTCAAATTTATATTTTTGTGTGAATGTTTTTTTTTGTTTGTTTATCATGATTATAGAGTAAGGAATTTATGTAAATATCCTTGTTCCTGTTTCTAGAATGGCACTGTTCACTCTGCACTCCATTTTCCCTCTTCACTGGCACGATGTGACTGTATACCTCCTTCCCTACCGTCTGCAGTTCCTTGGATTGTACGTTCCCCGTCACCATACTCTCTGCCTTATGTTTGCGCACATCCATCCTTTAATATCAGTACCAACCTGCTTTCCTTCACACAGAGCTGCTCAAAAGAGGCGCCTTGAGCCTCTTCCATCAGTCCTGGTGGCCCTGACCTGCAGCACCACAAGGTCCTTGATGCCAGCTCCAGAGCAGGGCCGCCCGGTTGGTAGGATGTGGTAGAAGAAGGAAACTTTGCTGAAGGGGCTCTGAACACAATGTGGGTCTAACCAGAGATGAGCTAGAAATGCCCTTTCTGGCAATAGTTTGAGCCAGGTGCATCAGTGTTATAAGGAGTGCGTCCTTACTGGGCACTTGCAGAGTGTCAGGGGCTGTGCAACAGGAAAGTGGGTGCAGAGAGGCCCTGTAACTGACTCCTCCCTTCCATCTCTTCTCTGTAGACCAGCGTTGACTGCAGACATGGACTTAGCATGCCCCTGAGCAGTACCTCCGCTGCTTCTCTCAGGCCTCTCCTGTTAGGGCAGGAGGAACGGCTCTTTCTTGCCAAGTCTTCACATCAGTGTTTCCTAACTAGTTTTTCTTGTTAAGAGGCCCCATTCTATCAGACATTTTGGTCAAGTTTGCAGGAAAGACTGCAGATAGACTTCCAGGGTGGTTTCCATCTAACCTATGGGTAAGGTTCACTCTTCTGAATCGTAGGCCATGGTGAAATTTGTTTCTGTGTTTTTGGCTTTTCTCCTCCATTTGTGTGGTATATTTTTAAACAGAATTTTATTTTTAAAGTGAAAGTTCTTTATAAGACGATACCTTAATTATACTCCTGCAATATAGCCATTATTTTATTGTATAGTTTCAGTTATCTGTATTTTATGTAATAAAATGGACAGGGTGGCTGCTGCAGAATGTTGGGTGTCGCCGGGAATGTAGACAGCTGTTTCTCGGAATTCTTCTTTATAATTCCACTGTGGCCCTTTTATATGTGCCTTCACTTTAGCTGTTTGCCTTAATCTTTACAGTCTTGCTCTCCTGGGTGGTGAAGAAAATGCAACATTTGGCATTTTTGATGTTAAAAAAAACAGTATTTTATTTATAATAAAATCTGAATATTTGTAACCCTTTATATTTGGTGTGGCCTGAGTGTGGTACTGGGGATGTAAGATGCTTTAAAAGGTGTGATGAAGACAAAATGCTCTGAATGTCTTCTTCAGGTCACTTATTAAAAACAGTTGTATGTACATGTCATGCACGGATGTGGATGGATGGACTGACAGATGGATTGATGGATGGCTCTTACTTTAATCTTTCTCAGGTTGAATACTTTGTATTTTAGGCTCATACATTCTTACACCTCTTCTGCCTATGGCAAAGGAAAGCAGCCATGGACAGGATGTACTTCAATACAGCTTCCTACAGAACCAGCTGTGTGCCTGCAGGCTGTATTTTGCCAGACCCTCAGGTATGGTGTCAGCACTTGATTAATGAATGACCTTTGAGGACTTTTAATTTATTTGGATTTTCTAAATTGCAGATGTATGTAAAAAGCATGCACACTTTTTAAATATGTATGCCTTCGGATAAAGGTGGTTTCTTCAGATGATGAGAAACATATATTATGGGATGAAAAGAAATAAACAGTGATGTGCTTGCTGGATCAGGAGCTGTTAGTGGCCAACAGTACAGTTGGGATGACCCCAACCCAAAAACCTGAGACCAGGTAAAAATTTTGGAAATTCAGAGGTGACAGGCAAACTTTGGGCCTGTGAAGGCCTTACTGTTTGCTCCTCACTGCTCTGTCGCCTGAGGTACACCACCTTCCTGATTTTAAAATCATTTAACAATGATCCCTGTAGAGCAGAACCTAAACTTCTTGCTAGACTTCCTCAGAAAGAGCTTTAGAGGGCACTAGTTACTTGTTTTCTTACCCTGTTCTTAACACATTAGTAGGATCTGATTCAGATGCAACTATATCTCCTTTGTAGTTACTATGTCAGGGTGAAGGGTGGATTTTTAAAATTTGCTCATTCCTTATTTCAAGTCAGCAGAGCAGTTTCTCAAAAGTTGGGAGCAGCATAATCCCATTTACTATATCCCCAGAGGTTAATTCTTTAAATAAACATTCCTGTCCCATAATACATCTGAGCCCACCAGCCCCACATCCATTTAGCTCAAAGTAGAATTCCTGGAGAAGACCCTGCATCCAGGAAAGCTGTAAGGCTTGCCCAAGATCACATGGATTATGGAAACAGGAGAGAACCGTAAATGCCAGGTAATCTAGTTTGCTCACAATAAGCAGGTTTAAGCGAAGTGAGACTGAAGACACCTTCTAGTAAGTTCTCTATCTCTGAGTCTCCATTGTTCAGTTGTCTTTAACTAGAGTGACAAATTGGTATTGAGTCTCCATTTGATTGCTCTGTGCAATCAAATGACATTCTAAGTAGAAATCATTTGCATTCTTCAGAAAGGGAAATATTTAGCTAAAGTCCAAAGAAAAGCTAAAAAATCCACTTCAGCATCCAAATAAGAGAAGCTTCCACATTTCAAGTGTTGTTTGCAGCACCTCTATGTCTTTGTTTTAACCCCTTTCTACCTGGAATACCCTTTCTTTTGGCTCCCCAGTACAAGAAAGCCGAAAGTCATGTGTCACCTCTGCTGAAATTGACCAGTCCTTCCTTGTGTCCATCACCCTTTCCAGCCATGTTCTGACTTCTAGATGACTCTTACATATGTGTTTATTGATCAGGTATCTCTCACCCACCTACTCCCCTCTCCCCTCCAGAAGATCTGGGTCTGTGTCATTCTCGGTCACATTCTCTAGTCTGGGAAGCCTACAGTGTCACTCCGGTTGTCTAAATGGTATGAAGGTAATCAACCTTTCTCCATAGTCTGTTCTCCCATTCCTGTTACAGTTTCCTTGCTGTGAGCAGAGAGGTTTATGGGTAATGTGTTCTCTTGCCTTCTTCCAATAGCACCCTGCTCTCTGTATTTTTGCAGGGACTCAGGAAGGGCTAATGTACCATTGGCCTCTTGTTTGCAGGAAGATAAGCAAAACCACTGACTTTCCACCAAATGGTACAGCACAGACCACATAGCAACCACTTGTATTCCCAGATCCCAATTCACACTAGTCATTCTCAGTACTGTGCTGTATGCCTGCAAGTTTTACCCACAGCCCCTCTGAAGATATTCCTGGATACTGGTCCAAGTTAGAACATCAGTCCTCTCTCCCATCCTCCACCCCCAGCTCTTGGGAATGGTCCAGTAAGTTTCAATAGATTGGTTGGTGGTATGTCTTGTTTGCATCTTTTAATGTAAGCCAGAGAAGTGTTACTATTAATTCAGTTGTTTATATTTTTTTCTACTAAAAAATTTATCAGACCCTTGATCAAGAACCTAACTGTCTGTTACAACATTTCTCACATAAATACGCCCCATCCAATTTAAGTGAGTCTCTGTAAAACATCCCTGGGAGGACCACCCTTCCATCCTGCCAATCCTTTCACACCATGGCCAGAAAGGAGAACTTCAGACTGATACTCCTGGGGTCTCTGCCACTGTGTCTGCCCCAGTGCTGAGACCATTGTCATTTTTAATGCAATGATTAGATGTTGTGCTATGACAAGTGTGAAGAATTTCCAGAAGCAATTCCTTTCTGAATATTCAGTGCCTGTCCTCTAAAATGTACAATCCTGATTTCCTTCCCTCTTCTTTGTACATTGAGCCTCATCTTTTCTTCCATGGATGTTTCTTTCCTCCTGAGTATGGCTTCTAAATTGGGGTTGATACAGAGTAAGCACAAGTCCAGCCATGAGCAGAGATGTCTGGGGAAGCTGCGCTGTCCTGGTGTGGATTACAAGTTCTGGGTTGCTGACCCAGCGTCCAAGATAACCAGACAGAAATGGCTGTGATTTGGGTGATTACATGTTTAGGTGGTCATAGACGTTTGTGTTACAGCTTGCTGATCTGTCAGGGCTCAGACAGTCTGCTCCCTTCTGTCTCGCTTAAGCTGCTCCGGAGGTTCAGTCCTGGCCAGAGAGATGAGCGTTACCATGGCAATTTCAGAGCGGCTGCCCTATGTATGTTTTGCAGAGACTCAGGAAGGATTAGCACAATCAAGATAGTGCACACTGTACACCATGCTTTAAAAGGCAACTTCATAATTATTTTTCTTTCATTCACCTCTCATTTGTTTAGGGTTTCCATTTGGCCAAGAGCAACCTGTGTTTTTCTACTTCATAACCTAACCACTATCTTAACATCACGCCTCATTCTCTGGATTGGATTTTGGCTCATTTTCCTTTTAAAAATCTTTATTATCCATGTATTTTATTATAAGCTTTATAAAATGCCATATTTTGTGGGAGTCAAGGCAAGGTTTAAATATATTAGAAACCTACCTAATATTAAGGAAGCAGTGATTCCATCACTGGGAATTATTACTTGGAACCTGATTATCTGCAAGTGACCTCGGTGACCTGCACCACACAGCCCATGACCTTCTCTCACTGCTCTTGATTTCTCCCTCCCTTTTCCCCTAATTAGGACCAGAGGTACAATCATAAAGCTACTGCACCTGGCTTCACCTTCAACATTAACATCTGATATAATCATGATACATTTACCAAAACCAAGAAATTATATAATATGTGTAGAATGCTATTCATAGAATGATAATCTTTTGTCTACTTTTTAAGACCTTTTTCAAGATTCTGTTTTAAAAGAAATGTTGAATTATAAAACAGAAAATGAGAATACCCATCATCAGATCCCAAGCTATGAACAATAGGGATGTGGAGTCCAAAATAATTGATGTTACTTTCATAATAGACTCAAGATGGCCTAAGATAGAGATTATTCATAGTTAATTACAAACAGAATCTCTAACCAATGTGGTAAAATATCTTTAAATTTTCTAGATGTTTTTAAAGATCTATCAGCATGAATATGTTATTCATTATACACCACAAATTTAAGTATTTGCTAACAAATAGAAAATTTACTCACAAAGATCACATTAGAACTTTTTATTACATAATTCAGACTTACAGTAAAAAAAAATGCAGGAATAACACAAAAATTCCTCAAGTCATTACCTAGATGTCCCAAATATTAATATTTTACTACATTTGCTTTTTTCACTGCTCTTTGCTTTCTTGCTCTTGTTGTCTGCAGGGAGGGATGATAGATGATACAGATAGATGGATGAAATGGATGGATAGAGAGAACTATTTTAAATTGTAAACATAATGCCCCTTTACCTACATAATTGTAGTACAATCATCAAAATCAGGAAATTCCTTTGATACAATACAATCATCTAATATACAGTCACCAGATTGTCTTATTCATAGTAAGCAGAATCATGCCTCCCCACAACACATCCATAGCTTAATCCCTAGAACCTGTGAATATTAGGTTACGTGGCAAAGGGGAATTAAGGTTACTGATGTAATTGAGGTGGTTAATCAGCTGATCATAAAATATGTTATCTTGGATTATTTTATGAATATAATGGTAAGGAATCTTAAAATTGGAAGAGGCAGGCAGGAAAGGAGGTCAGAGTGAGGTAATGTGAGGAGAACTTAGCCCTCCCATTGTTAGCTTGAAGATGGAGTAGGGGGGCAGGAGTCAAGGAATATGGGCAACTTCAAGAAACTGGAAAAGGCATAATGGAATCTCCCCAAGAGTCTCCAGAAGAAAAGAGCAGCCTATTCTCATCTTGATTTTTAGCCCAGGGAGACCACTATCATTCTTCCACTGGTGGAACTCTGAAGTAACAAAAGTATGTTATCTGAGGCTACTGAATTTGAAATATTTGGTTGTCGGAAAAGTCGTGACGCATTTTTGATTGAAAAACAGAAAAAATACATCATGACTTCCGATAACCCAATAATTTGTTATAGCAGTCAAAGAAAGCAAGTACACTATCATGTCAATAATGTCTTAAAACACAAGAAAATCTGTTGTCATGCCTTTCATTTGCTTTAATCTAAAACAGTTCTTGCATCTTTATATTTCATAACAATAACATTATTTCATAGACTATTCTTCAACTTGGTTTTCCTGATGTTTCCTCTTGATTGGATTCGGGATCCCTTGTAGATCATACAAGGGATGCTTTAT